AAAAGGAATAAAGCTAAATAAGAATAAATCAAATAAAAAAATCATAAATAAATTAAATGATGGATATTTATTATTTTTAATTCATTTTTATATTAAAAAATATCAAAATCAAAAGCAAATAAACTATTTTTACACAAGATAAAGTGTCATATTTGAAAGATTAGAGCACTTTGTTAAACCAAAACTTAAACCTGATGTACCCTCATCACCAATTTCATTCTGACTTTTTAAATATTGAAGAACAGAATATTATTTATCAGTTAGTTAGAAAATAAATTTATGAAAAAATATGAAATAAAAATAAATTAATTAATTAAAATAAAAAAAGTTTAAAGTTATAAAATAAATTTTATAAACAAAAGCAAAAGAAAAGAAAAAGAAATCAAATAAAAAGCTGATAAATAAATAAATGAAAAGAGTTAGTTAGTTAGTTAGTTATATTGTTTTAAATTTATTTTTAAATTAAAATTATCACAACCCAAAATAAATAAACTGTTTTACTTTAGATAAAGTGTCAAATTTGAGAGATTAGCGCAGTTTCCTAAACCAACACCTAAACATGATGCACCAATTGCACCAATTTAAGTTTCGCTTTAAATATTGTAGATAAGAATATAATTAGTTTGTGAGTTATTTAGATTGAAAAAATGAAGAAAAAATATTAAAAATAACATATTGTTTAAATATATTTTTATAACAAAAAATATCAAAATAAAAAACAAATAAACTGTTTTTACCTTAGGTTAAGTGTCAAATTTGAGAGTTTAGTGCACTTTGCTATAGCATAACCTAATACTGATGCAGTTTCATCACCGATTTAATTCAGACTTTTAAATATTGAAGTAAAGAATAAAATTAATTAATTAGTTAGTTAGTTAGTTAAGAAAAAAAATGAAACTAAAAAAAAAGAAAAAAAATAAGAAGCTGGTAAATAAATTAAAAGAGTTTAATTTATTTAATAAAAAAATCACAATTTAAAGCAAATAAATTTTTTTTACCTTAGATTAAGTGTTAAAATTAAAAGATTAGTGCATTTTGATATAGCAGAACTTAAGCCTGATGCACCTTCGTCACGAATTAAATTCTACCTTTTTAAATATTGAAGAAAAGAATTTAATTAATTTGCTAGTTAAAAAAAAATGAAGAAAAAATATGAAATAATAAGAAATCAATAAATTAATAAATAATAAAAACAAAAGTTTAAAATGATAAAATAAGTTTAATTAAAAAAGAAAAAAATACAAGAAGAATAAAAAAAGAAGAAAAAAAATTAAAAAAAGAAAAAGTTGGTAAATAAATTTCAAGTGTTTTTTATTTTAAATTTATTATTATATTAAAAATTATCACAATCCTAAATAAATAAATTGTTTTTACCCAAGATCAAGTGTTAAATTTGAAAGATTAGCATAATTTGCTATATCAGAAACTAAATCTGATATACATTCATCACTAATTTAATTTTCACTTATTTATTAAGTATTGAACAAAAGAATTAATTAATTAGTTAGTTAGAAGGAAAAAATAAAGAAAAAATATGAAATAGAAATAAATTAATTTATTAATAATAAAAGCAAATGTTCAAAATTAGAAATTTAATTAGATTAACAAAAAAAGAAAGAAAAATAACACAAGCAGAAGAAAACAAAAAATATCTAATAAATAAATAAATTAAAAGAGTTTTGTTGTTTTAAATATAATTTTACATTAAAAAATATCACAATCTAAAACAAAAAAGCTGTTTTACCTAAGATTAAGTGTTAAATTTTAGAGATTAGTGCATTTTGTTAATGCAGAGCCTAAGCCTAATACACCTTCATTACCAATTTCATTTTACCTTTTATATATTTAAGAAAAGAATATAATTAATTAATTAGTTAGTTAGTTAGAAGGAAAAAATTAATTAATAAAAGCAAAATTCAAAATAAAAAAATTTGTTAAATTAATAAATAAAAAAAAACACAAATGGAATTAAAAATAAAAATAACTCAAAAAAAAGTTGATAAATAAATTGAATGAGTTTAGTTGTTTTAAATTTATTTTTATATTAAAAAATATCACAATCCAAAACAAAAAAACCATTTTTTACCTAAGATCAAGTATTAAATTTAAGAGATTAGTGCACTTTCCTAAACTAGAACCTATACATAACGTACCTTGATCACAAATTTAATTGTATCTTTTAAATATTGTAGAAACGAATTTTATTAATTAGTTAGTTAGATGGGAAAAATGAAGAAAAAAATATGAAATAATAAGAAATAAATTAATTAATTATTAGAGCAATAGTTTAAAATGAAAATTTGTTTAATTAACAAAAAAAAAGAAAGAAATAAAGCAAAAGCAGAATGAAAAAAAAAATCAAATTAAAATCCGATAAATAAATGAAAAGAGTTATGTTATTTAAATTTATTATTTATTTTATATAAAAAAATAAAAATCCAAAACTAATAAATTGCTTTTACCCAAGGTAAAGTGTCAAACTTGAGAGATTAGCGCACTTAGCTAAAGCATAACCTAAGCCTGATGCATCTTCATCACCAATTTAATAGTGCCTTTTTAAATATTGAAAATAAAAATATAAATAATTAATTATTTAGTTAAAAGGAAAAAATGAAGAAAAAATATGAAACAATAAAAAATTAATTAATTAATAATAAAAGTAAAGTTAAAAATGAAAATTAAGTTAAAATAATAATATAAATATTAATAAAAATGGATGAATGAATATATATTATAATTTTTATTTGAAAAAAATTTTGAAAATACTTGAAAATTATCTATAAAAAAATGTGATAATAATATTAATAAATTAAAAATACATTAGATCAATATGGAGAACCTTATGAGATTAAAGTGAAGAGTTTAAAAACTTTTTTTATTAATAAAAATAAATTTAAGAAATATTCATAATAAATAAAATAAATAATTACTTCTTCTGCATTATTGAAATATTTTTTCGACGATATCATTTACTTATTTTTATTTCAAAAATATTTAACAGAAATTTAAGGAAATTTAATTAATTAAATTAAAAAATTAATTTACTTTTATTTCTTATTAATTTAGATAAAAAGAACAAATAAATTTCAATAGTTAATAAATTAGTATATAAATTTTCTTTTAAGAAGAAATATCACAAAAAAGCTTGTGTAGCATTTGTTATTAAATATTAATATTTAAAAAAAGAAAAAATTATTCAAAAGTAAGATTTTTAATCAAATTTTAATAAAAATGTGATGACTGACTGACTGACATATTTATTTATTATTTATGTCAGAATTCACCAAAATTTATCATAAACAATTTCAAATATATTTTTTATTTAATTTTAAACTCATTAATACCTAGCCAAACCACTAGATTTGAATTAGGTGCTTGGCTTTACAATTTCTTATTTAGAAGAATAAAAAAAATAAAAAATCTATCTATTTATTAAAAATGTTAAATTATTCAATTACAAAATATTATAAAATAAATATTTTATATTCTGATATTGAAATATTTTTATTTTATTCATTATTTTTTCAACACATTTATATCATCATTTGAATTATATTTTAAAGACAACTAATCTTTTTAATTTAAGACATTTGCTTTCTACTTGCAATTACTGTGATTCTTTTATTTTGTTTTTACTTTTAATTTAAATTAGTGTAAATTATTAAATAATATTTAAAATAATCAAATATTTAAATTTATATTTATATTTTCAATCAATAAATAAATAAAAATAAAATTAGTGCAATAAAAAGAAAATCAAATAAATTAAATAAAAAGCCTTTAAATAAATAAAAAAAATGAGTAAGTTAGTAGTATTGTTTTTAATTTTTTTTATATTAAAAAATATTGCAATCCAAAGCAAATAAATTGTTTTTACCGAAGATCAAGTTTCAATTTTGAGAGATTAGTGCATTTTTCTAAACCAAAAACTAAACTTGATGCACCAAGTACTCCAAATTCATTCCAACTTTTAAAAAATTGAAGAAAAAATATTTAGCTAGTTAGTTAGGAGGAATAAATGAAGAAAAAATATTAAATAGTAAAAAATTAATAAATAATAATAAAATTAAAAGTTCAAAAAGATAAAATGAAATAATTAAATTAACACAGAAAGAAAAATAAGTTAAATAAAAAGCTGATAAATAAATAAACTAAATAGCTAAATTGTTTTAAATTCAATCAAAAAATATTAAATCTAAAAATAAAGCGTTTTTACCCAAGATTAATTGTCAAATTTGAGAGATTAGTGCACTTTGCTAAAGCAGTACCAAAGCCTTATGCACATTCATCACCAATATAATTTCCACTTTTTAAATATTGAAGAAAAGCAAAATCAATAATTTATTAAATTTACAAAAAGGAAAAAAAAAACACTAGCAGAATAAAACAAAAAGATCAAATAATCAAATAAAAGATAATAAATAAATTAAAAAAATTATATTTTTTAAATCTATTTTATACTAAAAAATATTATAATCCAAAATAAATAAACTATTTTTACCCAAGATTAAGTTTCAAATTTGAGAGATTAATGCAATTTCCTAAACTAGAATATATATCCGATATACCAAGATCACCAATTTCAATACCACTTTTTAATAATTGAAGAAAAGAATATTATTAATTATTTATTTATTTTGAAGGAAAAAATGAAGAAAAAATATGGAATAATAAGAACTAAAATAACCAATAATAAAAGCAAATGTTCAAGATAAGTTTATTTTTATATCAAAAATATCACAATCTAAAATAAATAAACTATTTAACGTAAGACCAAGCGTTAAATATGAGAGATTAGTGCATTTTCCTAAAGCAAGACTTAAACATGATGCACCTTCATCACCAATTAAATTTCCACTTTTATTGAAAAAAAGAATATAATTAATTATTATTTTGAAGAAAAAAGGAAGAAATAATATAAAATAATAATAAATTAATTAATTTATAAATAATAAAAGCAAAGTTTAAAAATAGAAACATTTTTTTAAATTAAAAAAGAGAAAAAAACTCAAGCAGAATAAAAAATAAAAAGAAAAGTAAATAATTGATAAATAAATTAAATGAGTTTTATTGTTTTAAATTTATTTTATTTTAAAAATATCACAATCCAAAGCAAATAAATAAGCTGTTTTTACTTAAGATCAAGTTTTAAATTTGAAAGATTAGCGAGTTTTGCTATAGCAGAACCTAAGTCCGATGAACCTTCATAGCCAATTTTATTACAACTTTTTTAAATTTTAAAGAAAAAAATATTATTACTTAGTTAGTTAGTTATTTATTTATTTAGAAGGTAAAACGAAGAAAAATATCAAATAATGAAAAAATTTGTTGAATTAATAAAGAATAAAAAAGTTAAAGAAAAATAAATAAATAAAATAAAAAGCTAATAATTAAATAAATTAAAAGAGTTAGTTAGTTATCTGATTTAAATTACTTTTGATATTAAAAATAACACAATTTATAAGGAAAATAAACTGTTTTTACCGAAGATCAAGAGCCAAATTTGAGAGATCAGTGCAATTTGCTAATGCAGAACATAAGCCTGATAAACCTTCATCACCAATTTAATTGTACCTTTTTAAATATTGAAGAAAAAAATATAATTCATTAGTTAGTTAGTTAGTTAGTTAGAAAAAATATGAAACAATAAGAAATAAATAAATAAATGAATTAATAATAAAAGGAAAAGTTGAAAATAATAAAATAAGTTTAAAGAAAAAAAATAGAATCAGAATAAAAAAGAAATAGAAAAATAAATCAAATAAAAACTAACAAATAAATAAATAAATTAAGAGATTAAGTTAGTTATATTGTTTTAAATTTATTTTTATATTAAAAAATAATCTAAAACAAATTAAATATTTTTTTACCCAATCTCAAGTGTCAAATTTGAAAGATTAGTGCACTTTATTAAACCAGAACCTAAGCCTGATGCACCTAAGCTACTAATTTAGTTTTCACTTTTTAAATATTATAAAAAAAAGTATAATTAATTAGTTATTTAGAAGGAAAAAATATTAAATAATAAGAAATTAGCTTATTAATGATTAGAAAAAAAATTTTTTAATTTTAAAATTAGATAAACTACCAAATATATAAAATAGAAGCAGAATGAATATAAAAGAAAAAGAAGTTAAATAAAAAGAGGAGAAATAAATTGAAAGAGTTAGTTATATTATATGTCTTAAATTCGTTTTTACATTAAAAGATATCTCAATTCAATACAAATAAATTTTTTTACCAAAGATTAAGTGTCAAATTTTAGAGATTAGTGCAATTTGCTAAACCAGATCCTAATCCTGTAGCACTTTTATCACCAATTTAATTTACACTTTTTAAATATTGAAAAAAAGTAAAAAATTAATTTGTTAGTTACAAAAAAATGAAATAAAAAAGAGAAAGAAAAATAAATCAAATAAAAAGCTGATAAATAAATAAATGAAAAGAGTTAGTTTTATTGTTTTAAATTCATTTTTATAACTAAAAATATCACAATTAATAACAAATAAACTATTTTTACCCAAGATTAAGTGTCAAATTAGAGAGGTTAGTGCATTTTGCTAAAGCAGATCCTAAGCCTGCTGCATATCCAACACCAATTTAATTGTAACTATTTAAATATTGAAGAAAAGAATATAATTTATTAATAGTTAGAAAATAAAATGAAAGAAAAAATATAAAATAATAAGAAATTAATTTATAAAAAAACAAAAGTTTAAAATGATAATAATAATTAATAAAAAGTTGATAAATTAATTAATTAAATGAGTTTTATTGTTTTAAATTTATTTTCAAGTTAAAAAATATCATAATCCAAAACAACAAAATTATTTTTACCGAAGATCTAGTGTTAAATTTGAGAGATTAGCACACTTTGCTAAATGGGAAACTAAAACCGATGCACCTTCATCACTAATTTAATTTTACCTTTTTAAATATTGAAGAAAATAATAAAATTAATTAGTTAGTTTGTTAGTTTAAAGGAATAAATGAAAAAATAACTAAATAATAAAAAATGAATAATAAAAGTAAAATTTCAAAGTGAAAAAATAAGTTAAATTAATACTGAAAATAAAAAAACACAAGCAGAATAAAAAAGAAAAAGAAAAATTTTTCAAATAAAAAGCTAATAAATAAATAAATGAAAACAGCTATTTGTTTTAAATTTATTTTTATATTGAAAAATATCACAATACAAAACAAATAAACCGTTTTTACCTAATATCAAGTGTTAAATTTTAGAGATTACTAAACTTTCCTAAACTAGAACCTATTCCTGATGCACCTGCATCACCAATTTTATTGTATCTGTTTAAATATTGAAGAAAAGAATATAATTAATTAGTAACTTAGAAGTAAAAAATGAAGAAAAAATATGAAATAATAAGAAATGAATTTATTAATGATTAGAAAAAAGCTTGAAATGAAAAATTGATTAAATTAACAAAGAAAAAAACAAAAATGCAAGAAGAATAATTAATTACAAAGCATAAAATTAAATATAAATCAAATAAAAAGAGTTTTGTTTTTTTTAAATTTATTATTATATAAAAAAAAAATAACAATCCATAACAAATAAACAAACTGTTTTTACCCAAGATAAAGTGTCAAATTTGAGAGATTAGTGCATATTTCTAAACCAGAACCTAAGCATGACACATCTTCTTCTACAATTTAATTGTACCTTATTAAAAAATAAAGAAAAAATATAAATTATTAGTAAGATAATGGAAAAAATAAATGAAGAAGATATATTCAGAAATAACTGAATTAATAATAAAATCAAAAGTTGAAAATCAATTTAAAAATAATTAAATAAATATAAATAAAAATGAATGAATGAATAAAGGCGAATTTCTACTACAAAAAATATTTTAAATAGTTTTAAAATTAAATATAAAAAATCAGCAATAATTATATTAATATATTTAAAATACATCAAATCAATATGGAGAACCTAATAAGATTAAAGTGAAGAGTTTAAAAACTTTTTTTATTAATAAAAATAAATTTAAGAAATATTCATAATAAATAAAATAAATAATTACTTCTTCTATATTCTTGAAATATTTTTCCTATGATATCATTTATTTATTTACTTATTTTTATTTCAAAAATATTGAACAAAAATTTATGGAAATTGAATGAATTATAATTAATTATTTAAAAACTAATTTACTTTTATTGCAAATAAATTTAGATAAAAAAGACAGATAAATATATTACAATAATTATCAAATATATATTTATAAATTTGCTTTTAAGAAGAAATATCACAAAAACACTGGTTTAATATTTTATTAAATCTTAGTCATATGTTGAAACAATTCTAAAGGTTTATTTTTTTTAATTGAATCCAATATGATTTTTTGAAAGAGCTGAGGTTAATTAAAATTTTTTTTTTTGATATTTATGTTAATTGATAACCAAAATATAATAAATTAATATTGGATGTGAGATCTACTTGTTTCTTTATTATAAAAATATTTTAATAAAAAATTAACATTATATTCCCATAAAAAATTTCTTCAATATAAATATTATTTTCTTTTATTATTAAGCCTGAATGAATAATTTATTTATTTATTTATTTATTTATTTATTTATTTATTTATTTATTTATTTATTATTATTAAGCAAGAAAATACTACAAAATTTATGTTAGATATTTTTAAGTTTATCTAAATATTTAAAGTGCTTTATAAATTTTATAAATATTGTAATTTTTATTTAATCTTTGCTAATGCCTAAAAATATTAATTCCCATTGTTAATATATCTAATTAATATCTATGATTTCAAAGCTTCTAATTTAAGAAATTTAATAAGATAAAATATTCACTATCAATAATTAAAGATTTCATTTTTTTTTAATAAAATTGATAACTGACTTAAGAGTAAATACCTTATTTATTTATTTATTTAAGTAATTTCCATTTTTTTATTTTTTATTTAGTAAAATAATTATGTTCAGCTTACAAAATTTATTTGATATATATAACTCTAAAAATAAAACAAATCTATCAATTATTAGTCTAAATTATTCATTACAAAATGTTATAAAATAAACACATTATATATATTCTATTTTTCAAATATTTTTATATTTATTCATCTATTTTTCACCACTTGTTTATCACAATCAGAAATATATTTTAAAGACGACTAATCTTTTTAATTTAAGATATTTGCTTTCAACTTTTAATTTCTATGATATATTTATTTTGCTTTTACTTTTAATAAATTTTTTATTAATAAATAAAAATAAAATTAGCTAGCTTATTAAAAAAGCAAAAAAAATAAATTAAATAAATGACTGATAAATAAATAAATAAAAAAGTAAGTCATATTGTTTTTAAACTTTTTATATTTTAAAAATTATAACAGTCTAAACAAATAAATTGTTTTTACAGTATAAAAAGTGTCAAATTTTAGAGGTTAGTGCACTTTCCTAAAACAGAACTTAAGCCAGATGCACCAATTTCACTAATTTCACTCCAACTTTTTAAATATTAAGGAAAAAATATAATTAATTAGTTATTTAGAAGGAAAAAATGAAGAAATAATATCAAATTTAATAACTAATAATAAAATCAAAAGGCCAAAATGAAAAAATAAACGATTTAAAATAACAAACAAAAAACTAAACGAGAATAAAAAAGAGAAAGAAAAATAAATTAAATAAAAACTGATAAATAAATTAATATGGTTAAGTTGCTTTAAATTCACTTTCATATTAAAAAATATCACAATCCAAAACAAATAAAGTGTTTTTACTCAAGATTAAGTGTCAAATTTGAGAGATTAGTGCACTTTGCTAAAGCAGCACCAATGCCTAATACACCTTCATCACCAATTTAATTGGAACTTTTTAAATATTGAAGAAAAGAATATAATTAATAAGTTTTTTTGAAGGAAAAATAAAAACAGAAAAAGAAAAATAAATTAAACAAAAATATAAAAAATAAATAAATAAATTAAAAGAGTTATGCTTGAATGTATTTTTTTAAAAATATTAAAATCTAAAATAAATAAACCTTTTTTACCTAAGATAAAGTTTCAAATTTGAGAAATTAGTGCACTCTCCTAAACTTGAACATATGCCTAATGCACCAAGATCACCAATTTAATTTCCACTTTTTAAATATTCAAGAAAATAAAATTTATTAATTAATTATTTATTTATTTATTTATTTAGTTTGAAGGAAAAATTAAGAAATAATATGAAATAATAAGAATTAAATTAAGCAATAATAAAAGCAAATGTTCAAGATAAAAATTGCTTAAGCAAACTAAGAAATAAAAAAGAAAAAGAAAATAAATCAAATAAAAAGCTAATAAATAAATTAAATGAGTTTTATTGTTTTAAATTTATTTTTATATTAAAAATATCACAATCTAAAATAAATAAATTGCTTTTACGTAAAATCAAGTACCAAATTTTAGAGATTAGTGAATTTTCCTAAATTAAAACCTAAGCATGACGAACCTTCATCACCAATTTAATTGGAACTTTTTAAATATTAAAGAAAATAATATAATTAATTAACTATTTATTTTGAAGGAAAAATCAAAGAAAAATATGAAGTAAAAAGAAATGAGTTAATTAATAGAAAAAGAAAAAGTTCAAAATGAAAAAAATTTTTAAATTAACAAGAAAAGAAAACTCAAGCAAAATAAAAAAGAAAAGAAAATAATCAAATAAAAAGTGATAAATAAATTAAAAGAATTTTATTGTTTTAAATTTGATTTATGTTAAAAAATATCACAATCCAAAACACATAAGATATTTTTACACAAGATAAAGTGTCAAATTTGAGAGATTAGTGCGCTTTACTACAGTAGAATCTAAGTCTGATGAACCTTCTTAGCCAATTTTACTATAAATTTTAAAATATTAATGAGTTAATTTGAAGAAACAAATAAAGAAAAATATCAAATAATATGAAATTAATTAATTAATGAAATATAGATTAAATAGTTGTAATGAAAAATTGATGAAATTAATATACAAAGAAAAAAATAAAAGCAAAATCGAAAATAAAAAGAAAAATAAATAAACTAAAAAGCTCATAAATAAATTAAATGAGTTAGTTATATTGTTTTCAATTCATTTTTATATTAAAAAATATAAAAATCCAAAACAAATAAACTATTTTTACACAAGAAAAGGTGTCATATTTGAGAGATTAACGCATTTTGTTAAACCAAAACCTAAGCCTGATACACCTACGTCACCAATTTCATTCTGACTTTTTAAATATTGAAGAAAATAATATTATTAATTAGTTATTTACAAGAAAAAAAAAGAAAAAAAATATGAAATAATAAGAAATGAATTAATTAATAATAAGAAAAAAGCTTAAAATGATAAAATAAATAAGTTTAATTAACAAAGAAAAAAAACAAAAGCAGAATAAAAAATAAAAAGAAAAATAAATCAAATAAATAAATAACTGATAAATAAATGAAAAGAGTTAGTTAGTTATATTGCTTTAAATTTATTTTCTTACTAAAAAATATCACAATTACAAAAACAAATAAGCTGTTTTTACCTTAGATTAAGTGTCAAATTTGAGAGATTAGTACAATTCCCTAAACCAACACCTAAACCTGATGCACCGATTGCACCAATTTAAGCTCCACTTTAAATATTGTAGAAACGAATATAATTAGTTAGCAATTAAGGAAGAAAAAATGAAGACAAAATATGAAATAATAAGAAAGAAATGAATTAATTAAATGATAAGAGAAAAAGTATGAAATGCAAAAATTGAATAAAATAGCATAGAAATAAAAAAATAAAACCATAATATAAAAGAAAAGAAAAATAAATTAAAAGAGTTATTCATATTTTTTAAATATATTTTTATAGTAATAATTATCATAATCAAAAAAAATAAACTGTTTTTACCTTAGATTAAGTGTCAAATTTGACAGATTAGTGCACTTTGCTATAGCATAACCTAATTCTGGCACACTTTCATCACCAATTGAATTGATACTTTTTTATTTTGAAGTAAAGAATATTTTTAGTTTGAAAAAAAATAAAAGAAAAAGAGAAAGAAAAACAAGATCAAATAAGAAGCTGATAAATAAATTAAAAAACTTATATTGATTTAATTACCCTTTTATAAAAAAAAAAATCACAATCTAAAGAAATAAACTATTTTTACTCAAGATTAAGTGTTAAATTTGAGAGATTAGTGCACTTTGATATAGAAGAACTTAAGCCTGATACACCTTTGTCACCAATTAAATTGTACCTTTTTAAATATTAAAGAAAAGAATATAATTAATTTGTTAGTTAAAAAAAATGAAGAAAAAATATAAAATAATATGAAATTAATTAATTAATAAATAAATAATAAAAACAAATTTAATTAAAATGATAAACTGAGTTTAATTAACAACGAAAAAAAAAATGAAAAAGAATAAAAGAGAAAAAGAAATTTTTAAATTAAATAGTTTATTTTGTTTTAAATTAATTTTTATATTAAAAAATATCACAATCCAAAACAAATATTTTGTTTTTACCCAAGATCAAGTGTTAAATTTGAAAGATTAACACATTTTGCTAAATCAGAAACTAAACATGATAAACATTCATCACTAATTTTATTGTCACTTATTTATTAAGTATTCAAGAAAAAAATATAATTAATTAGTTAGAAGGAAAGAATGAAGAAAAAATATAAATTAATAAGAAATAAATTAATTTATTAATAATAAAACCAAAAGTTTAAAATAAAAAATTAGTGAGATTAACAAAGAAAGAAACATAAAATAAAACATAAATCAAACAAAAAAAGGTAATAAATAAATAAATAAATTAATTAATTAAAAGAGTTTTGTTGTTTAAATATATTTTTATATTAAAAAATATCAAAATCTAAAACAAACAAGTAAAGTGCTTTTACCTAAGATTAAGTGCCAAATATTAGAGATTAGTGTACTTTGTTAATGCAGAACTTAAGCCTAATGCACCTTCATCATTAATTTCATTTTACCTTTTAAATATTTAAAATATTTAAGAAAAGAATAGAAATAATAAGAAGCAAATAAATAATAAAAGTAAAAGTTCAAAATAAAGGATTTGTTAAATTAACAAAAAAAAAAAAACATAAGTAGAATAAAAAAGAAAAATAAATAAAATATAAAGATGATAAATAAATTAAATGAGTATTTTTATTTTAAAAATATTTATTTTTATATTAAAAAATGTCACAAACCAAAACAAATAAACCATTTTTACCTAAGATCAAGTGTCAAATTTAAGAGATTAGTACACTATCCTAAACTAGGACCTATGCTTATTGAACCTTCATCACAAATTTTATTGTAACTTTTAAATATTGAAGAATAGAATATAATTAATTTGTTAGTTAAAGCTTGAAATTAAAAAATTTGTAAATTTAAAAAGAAAAAAAAAAGCAAAAGTAGAATAAAAAGGAATTATAAAAATAAATCATTTAAATATATAGCTGATAAATAAATGAAAAGAGTTATTTTATTTTAAAATTATTATTAAATTATACAAAACATAATCCAAACTAATAAACTGCTATTACCCAAGTTAAAGTGTCAAATTTGAGAGATTAGCACACTTTGCTAAAGTAGAACCTAAATCTGATGCATCTTTATAACCAATTTTATGGTACCTTTTAAATATTGAAGAAAAAAATATAAATAATTAGTTAGAAGGAAAAAATGAAGAAAAAATATGAAATATTTATCAGAAAAAAATAATGTAAATAGTTTTTAATATAAAAAATGAGCAATAATTATAATAATAAATTAAAAATACATCAGATCGATATGGAGAACCTAATGAGATTAAAGAGAAGACTTTAAAAACTTTTTTTATTAATAAAAATAAATTTAAGAAATATTCATAATAGAAAAATAAATTATTACCTCTTCTGCATTATTGAAATATTTTTCCTATGATATCATTTATGTATTTATTTATTTATATATTTTTGTTTCAAAATATTGAAAAGGAATTTATGGTAATTAAATTAATTAATTATAAGTATATATTATATTAAAACATAAGTTTAGTTTTATTTCATCTTAATAATTTGGTTGAAATGGAATTCAAAAAATTTATATTTATTTTTGCTTTTATTTTTATAAAATTTCATAAAATAAATTTAAAAATAAAATATATGGTAGATATATAGAGTATATTTATTTATAAATAACAAGTTAATTTTTATAGCAGATACTAACTAAATTTTACAAAAAAATTACAAATTTATTAAAAATCAAATAAGTAAATGATATTTATTAATTTATATATTTTTAAATTTTCTTTATTTTTTGCATTTTTTTTTTTGTATTAAATTTATTAGTTAATATGACTATTTTTTCATTCATCTTATTCTTTAAAATAAAATTTAATAAAAGCTTCTTATATGATTTCTTTTCTTAATATGTTAAGCTAATTTTGCCTTTTAAGACATGTTAAATATGCTAAAAGCGCGTGCTTTGGTTTATTAATTAATTTATTATTGATTATTCTCAAATTAGTTCGAATATCTAAAACATTTGAAAAACATTTACTGTCAATCATAGAAAGTATTTATTTTTTTTCTTTTTCTTAAAGGCATATGTTGATTGGAAAAGCTCTATTTTAAGTATCAAATAAATATCTAAAAACTTAAACATTTAAACTACATAGTATTTTTATTAATTGCTTATTTGCACTTATAGTATCACATTCGCTTGATTAACTATTGAATTAGCATAATTAGTAGATGTTTTTTGTAGGTTATCTTAATATTAAATCTTATGTGTCAATATGTAAATTATGATCAAACAAAACTTTTTATTTGTTAATTTATTCCCTTTTAATGAAAAAATCATCATATTTTGTCTTAATATCTAGCTAGCTTTATTAATGAATGTTAGCATATTTTAATATCTTTCTAACTTCTTTTAAAAAGTGCACCGATTTAACATCTAAAAAGATGAATTAAATGGCATTCTCATTAAAAACAGTAAACAAATTTTCTAAAATATAATTTTATATTTTCATTTTATCAGAATTATATTCAATTTTTATAGAATTACCCTCTTAAACAAGATTAATAAATTTCTAGGGATCTTCCTTTGAAAAAGCTTTGATTTTTAGCTAATTAATTGATTTTGCTTTTTCCTTATTTTCTTCGTGAAATAAATGTTCTAGCAGCTCATGCATCGTTTCATCATCAACATATAAATCGATTTAATTTGCAGAAAACATTTTGATCAGCCTAATAATGCAATAGCTAAAAGAAGAATTCTCATCTTGAATCAACGCATGAAACTTAACCTTATTATAAGAGCAGTCAATTTTGAATTATTATTCATAGATTTTAATTTTCATTTAAGTTAATAGAATATTTTCTATACTAAGCACATTAGTTAAAGAGAAGTCAATCATATGATTTAAGTAATAACATAAATTGTCTATCACTTATTTGCTATCCTAGTTTGAACTATAGTCGTCGTTTAAGATCCTAAATGATACATTCACCTCAAATCTCTAATATACTAAATTTAATTTTCAATGATTATTACTAAAAATTTTAATATTGATTAAAAAATTGTAAAAAATTTCATTTTATTAGACTGGATTAAGCTATTTCAAATCAAATATTTGATAATAAATTTGAAAAAAGAGACTATTAATTATAAAATAACTTAATAATGAAGCATAAAATTAAAAAAAAAATAAAATATTTAGATTTAACATTTTTACCAATATAGTCGATGTAAATTATCCGATTTTCCAAATTATTAATTTTATCTTCTGCATTCAAATAGTGTTGTACATTATTAATTATGTTATTATTTCTACTTAAAACTTGTTTTTGATTTAGCTTATAAGAATGCGAAATCAGAGTACCATCGTAATGCAAGCTGAGAATATTTTTAATCCTGATGTCAATTATTACATCAAATTTATTTAATTTAAATAATAAGTCTTTTAGCATTTGATTTATGTAGGAGTTGTCATAGTTATATTAAGATATATTATCTAAATCTAGCGATATATATTAAGCCTAGGTGTATCTGCTAAAAACTTGTTTTAACTATTGCTGACTCTTATCTGTCAAGACTGCTTCGTATAAATCAGCTTTTATCTTAATTTGCTACTAATTTTAAACATTAACAATCATCTAATAGTTCTATAAAATGTTGTATACTTTATAAATTTGCTTTTTATAAGAATTTTTTATGCTCCTTTTAATTTGATAAATTAATAATTAACTAACTAACTAACTAATTAATAAATTAATAATTGGTTTGATTTAAATGTATAATTAAGTGATTAAACCCAAATTCAAACATCTTTAGAAAATGTATCCAATCTGTTACTAATTTACATTTTTGAAATGACTATTTTTAAATTCATTTGAAATAAAACTATTTAGTAAAAATTAAATAAATAAATGTTGTATTTCTAAAGATTTTGTTTTATAATCATAGGTAGAATTTGGGTAACATATATATTTAGCAGATTTTTAAATTAATAACAAAATTAAAATAATTTTTAAATTTAGAGGATAAAAAAATTGAGTTGAAATAAAAAGAAATTACAATAGAAATATTTAAATTTTAAAAAACAATTAAATTTATTTTTTCATTAAACTTAATATTAAATAATTGATTGAGTTTATTTATACCCATTTTAGATTCTAACAAAAGAGCTAAAATTTTTAAAGCTTAATTCTTAATAAAGGAATAAAAATTATTGTTATTTCTGTAAAATAAAATATTTTGAAAGTTTTAATCAAATAAAAGTGATAAATTATTCTAAATAGTTATTGAATGAGTTGCATTTTTAAGGATACTTTTTGATTTGGATTAGATTTTGTAGATAAGATAACTAAATACATAAATAAATAAATGAAATTATGTATAAATGAATATATGCATACATACATAGTTGTTAAATAAATTGAATTGATAAATTTTGAAACAAACATTGATTTATAATGAATGCTTTTAATTGAATCTTGAATTACTTAAAATTAAACTGTAATAACATTAATAATAAATCCATATAAAAAGTTATATATTAGAAGTAGCAAATTATAAATAGATATATAGATAGATAGATAGTTTAATAAAATGAATTAGCTAGAAGAAATAGTTAAATATGTTATTTATAAGTGCAGAGAAAACAATCATCCAGTAACTGAAACGCTTGCCGCTTTTGTTACCTAAACGATTTACAATCCAAGTAAAGTATTGAATAGAATAGATAATAGATTGATTTTAGTTTCATAAATGATTATAATCATCAATCATATTTACTGAAAAAATAAAAAATATTTTTTAAATCAAGAAACTGACAGATTCTACTTGGAAGATAAATTGACTGCCTCTCAAGTTGATGAACTCAAAGCAACTGTTCTTTAAAAATTATCTCAAATAGATAAGCCAAACATGAAGACAATATAAATGCAAATATGTAATAAATTTATCAATTAATGCTATTAGCATCAAAAATAATAGTTTTGACTACAATCATAGTAAAATGAGTGATAACAATAAAGCTATTAAATGAATGCGAATATTATTTTAATTTAGATGGATTATTAAATAGTTTTTATTTGAAATATAGCTTATGACAGTGCTTACATTGAATCAGAAATACAAAGATAGGAGAGAATAAAGAATTAAAGTATTGAAACTGGTAAGTTAACAGATGAAGTTGTTTCTCTTGAAATTAAAAATGCTAAAGATTTTGAAGGTCTCACCGTACTATTTAAGAAAATATTTAATTTTTTGCTTTACAAGAATAAAGAACTTATGTATGATGGAACTAATAAAACTGGTAATTAGGACTCTGAAAACTAAGCAACTTAATTTAACATTGAAAAGGAAGTTGCTGCAGGTCTTGAAAGTGTCATTCCAAGAGCAGCTCTTGGACCTTTTGTTTCTCTAAATCCATCTGAAAAAGTGACTCAGTTAGTTGAATTATCTAATTTGGTTATTGGTATTCGTCTTTTCAACAAATGGATCCAAAAAGGTAAAACTCAAATAATAAATAAATTGAATGGAATTTATTTATTTGTTAAACAAAATAATCAAGCAAACAAACAAGCAAATAAATAAATAAATTTTTCAAAAAGATATTCAAGAGTAAAATGAAATTTAAAAAAAATAAAAATGCAAATTTAAATTTTAAAGATTTTTATTTTTGTTTGAAGCCAAACAAATATTTAAAATGAATGCAAATAAATAAAAAGGATTAATTTATTGGGCAAAAAAGAGGGAATTTAACAAATTGAATAATATTTAGAAAATAAAAAATGAAATTGATTATTTTGTAATTAAAAAGGTGGTATTGGCTTAGTTCCTTTCTAAGATTTACTTGAATATGAAGGAAGAGACTTAATTGAAAGAATTCGTTAAGAGGCATTTGAAGTAATTGAAAATTGTGATAACTATACTATATTCTTTTAGAATGTTGGTCCTGGAAAAATAAAAATAAGTGATGAACAATTTAAATAATATAAAGATGAATTAACATTTTTAAGATAATATCTTTCATATATTCTTTCAATTTAAGAAGACGTAGATATATCTGAAAATAGCGTTGATTCTAATTAAACAAGATATCTAAAAGAAATTAAAGATCTTGAAACACTTTTAAAGTAAAAGTCTTCAGCTCCTAAGGAGTAGGTATCAATAATATAAACCATATATATTGATCGAGAGATGTATTTTAAATTTTAAAATATAGGTCTATCCCAAATTTGCTACTTTGGCTCAAGCTTATATTTAATTATTAGAAGAAAAGAAGCTTTGTTTAACAAGAGTTAAGTTATTCGAGTTACTCCAAGAAATGAGAAAAGGATTTAAGTTGACCCTACCCAGAAACTTAATTCTCACTGCAAAAAATATCAGCCAAGATCCATCTAATGAGGAATAAGTAGAAATTGAATATTCAGAAGACTGTGGTATCGAGCGTCTTCTTCCTAAAAATACTCCTGATTTTATGCAAACTCCTCTTGATTATTTAGGATTTTGCTTGTGGTCAATTGTAAAAAGAGATGGTTTATTGCTACCAGGTAAACCTGCTTTAGGTGTATTTAGGTAAAAATAAATATTTCAACTCAATTAAAAAAATCAAATTATTTTAGATTGAAATTTAATTAAATTTTTTTTTTAATTTTAATTACAAATAAACATTTAAATTTATTTTAAGAATTTTTGAATTATTTAGAAATTTTTGTTTAATTTAATAAAACAATAAAATAAATAAAATTCTAAAATAAAACTCAAAAAAATTGTTACTTAATTTGCTGATAAAAAATTTTAGTAATGGCAAAATAAATAAAAAATATTCTTAAATTTATTAGATAATAATTAAAATTTGCTTTTTTTTGAATTATAATGATAATTTTTGTGCTTAAATAATATTCAATTTAAACTAGAAAATTGAATGCTAAATTAAAATAATAAAAATAATTGCTTATGTGTTTTAAGCAGAAGATAGATCTAATATGTGTTTAAAATCAAAGTTATAAATTAATTATGAGATATTTTTACATTTATTTGGAACAAAAATTTATTTTAAAAATATTTAGATATAAGGATAAGAATTGCGTTTTCTCTGATGAAAAGAGCATAAATGAATTTTTAAGTGATCCTCAACAGTTTATTTAAGGTGTAATTAACTAATGCAGAAAGAATCCAGAATTAATTCACTTACTTAGAATGGATGATTCATTTAAAAACGTTAACTTGAACATCTATGTGTCTGGTTAAGAAGGAGGACACTAACTTTCTAATAAATTGATGGTAGATAAAGGTATTGAAACTCCTCTTCACTTTGTTGAAAAGAGACTTGACCCTAACTACTGCTGGAACGAATGGGAACTCAGAAAAAAAGCTTTACAAATGGCTAATATTAGAAAAAGATAAACCAAAGCCTGCCAAACTATATTATCAAACTTTAAGGTAGATTCAGAAGCTCAAACCTATCTCCCCAAAGATAACGAAACAAATACTGGTAAAACAGAGTGGGACATAAGAAAATTCGCAATAGAGCAAGCCAAGAAAAAGGGTATAATTGCTGGTACAGATAGAGCTCCATATCCTATTCATCCTAGAAACTACATAACTGGATTAAGAGACAAAGACACTAATTGAATTAATTTTATTTATTAGTTAAATTTACTTTAATATATTCCTTTCCAACTTTATATCAGATATAATTTATTACCTTGAATTAATTTTTATTATAGACTAATCTATCTGTAATTATTTCAATTTAATTATTTTATTTAATCTAAAATGGATTTTTTAAAAATAAAAAGCATAAACAAATAAATAAATACAATTAAATTAAATTAAAAATTTTATATTTTGTTTATTTCTGAAATAATTAAAATTTATAAAAATACTTTATTGATATTTAATAATTCAAAATAAAAAACAAAATATTTTATTTTGAATTATTAAATTTTTATTTTAGAAGTACTAATTAATATTTATTTTGCTTAAAAGGTTTATTTTACTTTAGCTAAAACTGTTTTTCTTATATAAATAAAAGTTAAAATCATGTGAAATATGGATAAAATAAACAATTAAAAATAAATCATTTAGTTTATGTTTTATTTAATACATATTTTTTGTATAGGTGAAATATTAATAGCTAAAAGGGTATTTTGGAAGAGTAAAAAGTTTTAAATTGAAAATAAATAGTTAATTTTATTAATGAACTCTTAAAATTACTTCAGAATTTTATAATCAGTATTAAAATCATGCAAAAAATAAATAGCAAAACTAAGATATTCAGATTGATTTAATAAATGTTAAATTTAATATATTTTTTAATGAAAAATAAATGGCTAAGATGGAATTATTAAAACTGTAATCATAATGTTTAGCTTTATAAAATATATATATAACAATAATATAAAATTACATACATATAAGATTTATAAATAATTGATTAGAATTAAATACTTTATCTGTGTATTAAAATATATTATTTAAATTTAGAAATAAAATACAAATAATATTTATTTAACTATAAAAGCTATAATAAGAAACAATAAATAATCATACTATTGTGTAATTAATAGATTAATATTATATGAAGTTTTTTTTTCTTTTTTGATAATAATAGTAAAAAACCATTCACTTCACTTATTATAATAAAGGAATTAAAGAGATAAAATTAAATTAATAAATTATTGTAATTTTGAGAGATATATAAATATTTAAGGTTGAAGTAATTTATTATAAATATACTAATTAATTTGCATAGAGCATATCTAGTACAAAAATATTAAATTTTAATTTTTTAATAACTAATTTTTCTCATCTTTTAATAATTCTTTTTTTATTTTTAAGAGTGTCTTATACTTATTTCTGAAATTCTTCTACTCTAAACATTTATTTTTCTTTTTCAGCATCCTCAGCTTTTATCTTATATGCATCAACTAAAATTAAATAAAACAAAATAAAATTTAATTAATTACTTTTAAAAAAATTAAAAATTTCATTAAAAAAATAAATAATTTATTTATTTGTATACGCATTCCAATTAAATCTTAATCAAGAGGCTTTCCTCCAATGTTAGAAAGAGATAAATAAGACTCTTCTGCATATTTTTGTTTTCTTTAATCTGAGTACTGTTTTGTATTAAAAATAAAGTGATATTAAGAAAATAATAAATAAATAAATAAATAAATAAATAAATAAATAAAAATTCAAACAAATTTATTTAAAAATAGATTTGAAAGATATTTATTGATAGTTTTTGAATAAAATTACTCCTTGTTTTCCATTATTGAATGCTTGATTTTATAATTGAAGTAAATCGTTAGTTCTTTTTTCTAAAATAGCCAAATATTAAATAATATTGCTTTCATCTATATCTTTGTAGTTAAATGGACCATATTCTTCTCCTAGTTCCCTAGTATATTCTTCAGAATCACATCCAATTTTTTCGAAGACGACAGGAATTTACATTTTTAATTAATTAATATATAGCATCAAACATTTATGTTCCATTTCTTAAGACTATCTTTTTCTCTTTATAATTTCTATTTATTTCTTTTTATTTTAAAGATAATTAGTTAGAATATATTTTTATTAATAATGATGCTAAAAATTCTTAATAAATTTAAAGATTTTTACCTAAATGTCGAAACACTTTTAAACTTTTGGATCTTATTTGATTTGCTCAGGAAGTTTTTTGTATTTTTCAATTTCATCTTCAATTTCTTTCTTTTACTTTTCAAGCTATTCGCTTTCATCTCTAAGGGAGTTGATATATTAATAAATTGCATTCTTTTTATCTTCGTAATCTGCAAATGTATTTATGATTCTTCTTAAATATTCTTATTCTATTTGGTTTCTCTTTTTCTTATCTTCACTTTTAAAATCTACTTTTTCATTAAGACAAGATTCTACTAATAATGACAAGACTTCGTCATACTTATCTAATTCTTATTTTATTTATTCAAGATTGTGACCTCCATCTCCTCTTTTATCATTTTTTTTATTCCCTTTACCAACTCCATGTTTTTCCATTAAAGCATCTTAAAATCCCTAAGTATGACTCTTAAAGAAATCACTTCCACTTTTCGACCACTTTTTTTTACAAATTTTTTAATAAAAAAGTTAAAAATCGCTAAAAAAGTGTCTATAAATAATTATTTAGAAATATTAATTGAATAAAGCTTATTTGAAATGATTATTTATTACTGGTGATTGAGATTTCATTACAGAGCCATCAGCTCCTTTAATTCCAAACTTTTCTCTCTTTCTTTGGTCACGGTTTTCATCACCCAAAACATGATAAACACTCTGAAATTCTTTTTCGTATCTTTTCTTTTACAATTAATACTCTGACTAATGCTTGTAGAGAGTTTTGGCTCCTTCTTCAAACATTTTATCTTGGTTTCTAGCATTTTCAGACTGATCTGTAACGCTTTTTTTGGCATCTTAAATTCTTTTGCTAAGAATTTCTATTGAATTAGTAAATTAATAGTTTAAAACAAAATTTAAATTATAAATTCAAGTTTTATTGATCAATTGATTTAATAAAACACATTTTTACTTTAGATTTGTTTGTAAAGGTTGATTTCTCTTCTTAATTTGTTAATATCTTCTTTCAAATCTCTATTTTATGAATCAGCATAATTGTATTTATTTCTAATATTATCGATTTTAAGATGCATAGCTTTCATTTTTTTCTCTAAACGAATAGGGTTGTCGTCCTTTGGACTTCTCTTTTTTTCCATAATTTCTTTTCTCTTTTCCTCAAGGCGAATGCTAGCTTCCTTAATTTCTTCATTCAATTATTCCTTATAATTAAATAAGAATATAAATTAATTGACTGATTATTTAAGTTACTAACATAGATTGTCAAAATCTAAATAACTTTAATATTTATTTTATCATAAACAAAAGAAATCAATCAATTAATCAATATATAGATAGATTCTTTCTCATTTTATGTCATTCCAATACAAAATTATTTCATTATCCCATAAAATTGCAAATTAATATTTTAATTACAAGTCTATCTCTTTCTATTTCCTTTTTTTGGCAATAAGTTTGTCCTGTTTCTTAAAGTTTTGCGATCTTTGAGTACATCATTGGATTGTTTATCATAGAGGATTAAAATTTGGAATCGCCAAGCTAATTTTTAAAAAAACAGTTATTGAAATAAACAAAATGGTAAAAATTGTAATGAGTTTTATTTAAAATTGTAGATTAAGTTAAAAATTCTTTACTGTATTTTCCCTTTTTGTGGTTTTTAGCTCAGCTAATGATCTATTAGTTATTTAAAATTTAAATCATAGTAAAAGCAACAATTTACAATAATGAAAATAAAAAATTACCTCTACTTATCAGTTAACTTCATAATAAATCTTTATTATAATTTTATTTAGTGAGGTATCTAATTGCTTTAGATATATTTAATTTCTATTTTAACTACCTACTATTATAATTTATTTTACAGTCTTTGTAGAGCTTATTTGTTAGCTAACAATCTTTTTTGATATCCTTAAAAAATCTAAATATGATATTAATGCTAATTAATTACTAATATTTAATTAACAAAACCTTTGAATTTCTTTTGTAAGTTTCTTTTTTTGCAAAGATAATTTAAAGAAAAATTTAGTTTAAGATTGACTTTATAAATTACTAAATGAAAAATAGTTTATAAAGTTATAAAATTTTACTATGTTTAATAAAACATAACACACATAATATTTCAAATTTATTCTACTTTGTTAAATATTTTAAAATAATTTTTCATCCAAATTAATAATTTAATTTCTTTTATTTATTAACTTTTTTGAACCACCATTAATTAATTAATTTAAAGGTAATTTTTTAATTTTAAATTAGTTTAAATAATAAATTTGTTTATCAATTAATAAATCAATTTATTAATGTTCTTTTAGTTTTAAATTTAAATGATTTCTTTAATAATAAGCTATGTAAAAACATTGTATTTATTTCTAATCATTATATTTATTTTTAGCTAAATTCTATTAAATGTGTTGATTTAAACTTATAAAATGTGTTTAAATAATGATAAATCTAAAGTAAATTTGATAACACTAATTGAAAATCGTGTTGTTTTCTTTTGATATTTATACTGAATTAATAAATTTAGCAGCTATTTATATAAATTTAAAAGCCAACAAAATTGCATAAAACAAATATTAATTTAAAAAACCTATGAAAAAATTTGTGTTTTTTAAGTTTTGAAACAATCAATTAATTTAGTAGTATCAATATTTATTTATTTACTTATAAGAATCAAAAATTATATATTTTAACAATGAAAAAAACAAATGCCACATAAATTAGAATGAAACAATTGATTAATATAGCAATCATTAAATGAATGAATATACTAATAATATATGATATTATAGAGCTGAAAGTTAGTTAAATATTAATCATTAATTCATTCATTTAATTATATATGAGTGTATGTATGTATTTATTTATTAGTCATTTCAGAAGGAAAGAAACTAAGATAGTTATTTAATTAATTGATTAATAATAATAAAGGGAGCTGATTCTTTGAATATTTATAACTTAGATTTTAATAAAAATAACTACAATAACAATAATAAAATATTGCGATTAAAGAAAGAACGGGATTGTATTTAGGATAAAGAGATTTAATTTTTATTTGAATAAAGTTATAGAAAGCGTATTTATTGCTAATAATATTACAAGCTTGGTTAGATAGATAGTGTTATAAAATATTTTTAAACTCAAACAAATAATTTACAATTTGATAATATTTAATATATTATTAAGATAATATGGATTCGCAATTTAACAAATAAGGGAATATTGGTAGCAGCAGATAGATTATTTAATCTAATTTGAATATTGGAGGATCTGCTAATATTAATAATTTATTTAAAACACCTGGTGTTGGGGATGAAAACATGCAGGGAATGAATTTTTAGAAAGAAAACGGAGATGCTTTCATCACTGATCCAGCTATGATGGAGAAGAACTAATACAAAGATTTAGCTCGTTTAGGATTCTAAAAGAAAAAAGGACATATTTATAAAATTGAAGAGGCTGAGTTACCAACAAACTTTAACAGTATGTACACACCTCTTCCAGTTTAGGTGGAGTTTAAGCGTATAATTTCAAATATAATGAATGCTCGACACATCAAAAAATAAGAGGAGTGGGGCAAAGACGGAATTACAGATTAAAATAATATAAACTATTAGCAAGCCCAATAATTTAATAACAATTAAACTTATTAAATGAATTCTGATGGAACTTTTAAAAAAGTTAAAAGGAGAGAAACAGAATATGATAAGTGGTTGAGATATTTATCTTTGGAGGAGAATGTAGCTATTGTAAGTGATTCTTTCTGGTACGCCATTAGCAAATTCTAAGAGAAAAGACTCAGTAAATTGCTAACTCCTGACGAGTTTAAAATAGAAGAAAAGAAATTCAAACAAATACAAGAAAGACTGCTAAATAGGATAGCTAGAAACTATGTCAACATTTTACTGTCTATTGAAAATAAGAATGATAACAACACATTTTTTAAGAAATATTTTGATATTATTGCTTAAGCAGTTTTTTACTCATTTTTCTATGCATTCCCAAAAAGTAGAAGTGAATTCGGAAATGAATTGAAGAGTGATTTGATTAATGAGTTTTCCTATCTTTTTACAGGTATTTAGATCACTAATAGCTAAAAGTATTGGAGTTAGTGGAATTTGGATTTGGGAGCAGGTAATATCCTTGCAGAAGATAAAAAGGCAAAATAGAGTATCACATCTCATCACCATGGATAACACAGTCACCAAGTTACTAACACTGGAGGTACTCATGGAGTGACACAGAGTGCTATGCAAACAGGCTCAAATACTGCAGGCAAGACTAATTCGTTTAAGGAATCAAAATCTGATTCTCTAGCTCTTCCTTCTATCGGCAAAGAACTATCAAATACAAGAAATAAAAGGGTGTTAATGCCTATAAAATTCTCGCCTATCTTAGATAAGTATATCCACTCTTACAATTATCAAACAAAAAACTATGTCACAGGATTCAAAATGAAATTTACATAATATGATGCAAACAAAGAAGTAGTTGAATAAAAATTTAAATCTTATCTTGACTTAGCTGAAAAAATCAAGGAGAGGTCAGATGAAATGATCATTTAAAATAATATATCTACAAAAAAGATGAAAGATGAAATTAAGAAACTTAAGAATGAAACCATCAAGCATCACAGACGTCTAGAAAAAAGAAAACAAGAAGAACTAGAACGTGGTGCTCACGAATATGCCAACTATTTAGTATCCATGTTAGACGCCGGGCTAGCTAGAGGAAATATAGGTGTTATAAACTAAAATCCTTTATCTTGATTTATTTATATCTTTCTTTCTTCTGCTTATTAAAATGTATTGACAAAATTTAAAAACCAGTAAAATCTATGAAAGTAGGTTAATAAATTTTATAAAATTATTTTCCAAGATTAATGTTTAGAAATTAATATATCATTCATTCATTATCCTAAAAAATACAATTTCCATTTACTTTTTATTCAAGCTGTTTATTGATAAAAAATAATAAATAAATTTTTATGATTTAAATAATTTTATTAATAATGATTATTCTAATTTTTAATATTTTAAAAATAAATTTTAATTCACTTTAAAGAAAAATATTTTCTTTAAAACTGTTTTAATACCTAGATTTTGCATGTAAATTAATTATTTCAAAAATATTTTATAAAAATTGATAATTTGAGTTGCTGAAAAAATTTTAATTTCTTAATTTCATCATTACATAAATTAAATAATCTTATTTTATATTAAAAATTAATTTTATTCATATTGCTAAATAAAAACTGAAAATTAGCTTTTATATATATAAATTATTTTAAAATATTTCTTAGTTTTTAGATTTATTTAGAATCACAATTAATTTTTTAATTAAATTTTCACATAAAAATATAATTTTATCATTTAAATAATATGAAAAAATGAGTTTAAATAATAAAAATTAGTTTATTTAAAATATTTAAGTATTATTTATAATTATAAGATGAATTAATTGTATTTATATTTAAAAATTTTAAATTTACTTGTTGTGTGAAATAATTTATTTATAATGATGGATGAAGCAAATATCTTGTTTTTAAAAATTAAATAATAATAATAATAATAATAATGGTGAATGTTCCTGATGATATATGTATTTGTTTATATGATGATTTGCTCATTTTTCTATTTATTAAGTATTACAAGGGCTAAAAATATTGAAAAATCTGTCAAATAAATAATATAATGAAATGAATGAATGAGTGACTAAGTGCTTGTTTTTTTTACTATTGTCTAAGCAATGTATTTTGCAAAAGCAAATGATAATTAAATTAAGATTATATCTATTTGTATATCTCCTTTAATTTTTCAAAGTAGAAAAAATAAATTAACTAAATAAACAACCAAAAAATTATATAGAGCTACTTAATAAATAAATAAAGCAACAAAAATGTCCGATAGTGATTCAGATATGGTTGAGGAAGTTTCATTTTCCACAGCCAAAAAAAACATTATTTCAGGCTAAAAGTAACTAAAGTAAGCAACCTTAGCAGTCGCTCCCAAGAAAAAGAGAGTAAGAAGAAGAAATGAGTTGAGTGATGATGACGAAAATGATAAAAAGCAATTAAAAGGTACAAATAAATAGTAACAGAGTGAGAAATAGCTTAATAATAAATCTACTAATAGCCAGCCCTAATCCTTAAATGCAAAAGTAGACCAAAACCTACTTAATTTGATTAATGAAGAACTGCCTACTAAAAAAATTAAATAAATTGAAGGCAAATTCAAAGTTGTTGAGCGCTCTGAAAATAAGATTGATAAAATTGAACCTAAGAAATTAACAATTCAATCTGAAGTATATACTGCCAAAAAGGACTTAGGCCAAGGAATTAAAGTTGTATTTTAAAAGTCAGTCAAGCAATAAACTGCTGTAAATAGTTCTGCCACTAATTTCTTATAAAACCGTCTGAATTTATCTAGTGCAAAAAGATAGCCTATATCAAGAATTATTGGAACAAAGTGATTATTATCTATTAACTAGCAAGATTAATGAAAAATAAATAAATAAATCAACAATCATAGCTTATAAATAAATAAATAAATAAACTAAAATAAAATTAATTCTATAATAAAAATCACACTTAATAAATTAAATGTAAATGAGTAAATAAGTAAGTATCTAATTAAGTAAACAAGTAATTAATTAAATAAATAAATAAACTAGCAATTTAGTAAGTAGATCTTACTATTAATTAAACAAGTTTAATTCCATATGAATGAGATGTGTGAGTTATTTCATTGATATGCTTTTTATTGCTCTTTTTTAATAATGATTTTATACATACTCTACTTGTCTATGTATCTATTTGTTTTTTTTATATAATGTGCTTCAAAATACAAATAAATATACTTTTTACTTTAAAAATTCTAATAATCAATCAACCTGTTGGGAATTAATGCTGTTTGTCACATTTTAACATTCATAAAGAAGATAAATTGATATACAATTTATTAGTAAAAGTACATTATTATTAATATTATACTTATAACACGAATTAAGTCTTTCAAGATATATTAAAATATATTTTTATATTTATTAATTTAATTATTATTTTTTTTGATATAAAAAGAGGGATTTTACATAATTCTAGTTAGTATGATTTCAGTCACCCATTTTTTATATCAGTTCCAAAACTATAGTGTCTATAAAAAATTTTGCTTGATCAAACCACCCTTTAAGGAACTAAATAAAATTTCTATTTGGAGGGATGTACCAAATATTTGTTCTGAATAAATTCAAAAAACTAACTTGAAAATGAAAAAATGAATATTTATTCTTAAATTTTAAAGTGTTTTAATTATTTTGCAACAAAAACCACTAATTGACTTCTTTATTTTCTTTATTATAATATTTTTAGTGTTCCTAGAAAATATCAAATGAAAATAAAAATATTTTTATCTTTTTAAAATGAATAGCGTTCAGTTTTTGGTTTACAACATATTCAACCTATCCCTAATATTTTATTGTACTATATATCTAAAATACAAAACTAAATCGAATGAATGAATTATTATTTAAACTAATTTGGATTAAAGATAAAATATACTAATATTATATATACATACATGATATTAATTTATGTATTGATACTTGTGTACATACTTAATAATAAATAAGTATTTGTTTTAAAAAGTTAATAATGTAATTTCAATAGTGCTTTTAAGGGTAGTTTTATGGTTGTTAGTAGTAAACGGGTTGAACTATTTACATGGGCTACATATTTACTTACTAGTATTATGGTTACATCAAGGGTGGTTGAGCAGGCTAGTAAGGATTGACTTAATAGGGTTAATGATTGACTTGTTATTAAGGATAAGGTTATTGTTGTTGTTAAGGATACAGATTTTATTACAACTGCATAGTTACGTTTTATCCATTTTGGATTGGAGTTTCACCTACTACAGCATTTTAACTTATAATAGTAGGTATTGTTTAATCACATTCATCTATTACTTTTACTTACTTGAGTTAATATTTCTACTTGAGCATAGCTCTTCTTTTAGAAACTTAGTTGCAGCTATAGGTGATGATACCTAAAAATGAGAGACAAACATAAACTACTAAGATTGCTAGGATAACAGCATCTAAAGGATTTACGATATTGTTTAAACTGTCGCTTGTTGATTTAACAGAACTATTGAAATCATCAGTTGAACAATTTAATTTAGCAATATCAGATAAAGAATTTTTGTAAGATTTGACATTTAAGAAATTCATTACACTCAAACCTAGCATTGCAAAGTCAAAGCCAAACTTAACAATTATTAAAAGGATATGGATAGGATCGACTAATTTGCAATAGTCGTAGCAAGAATCTTCTAAGTCTTTTTTTGTCCACCACCTTCTAATACATTCAGGAGATCTTAAAGTGCAAATAGAAATAGTGCAACCTTCTTTTAAGCAAGGGCAACAGCAAAAGCTTGTCTTACAGCACCCTCTGCAAGCACAGCACTTACGTTTTATTTGACTAGTGAAGCAGCCCATGAAGAGGAATAGACAATAAATTCCTAAAAAGACAACATTTCCAATACATACTTTATATAAATACTAATGGTTGTTGTAATCGCTGACATAGTTAAGAGTTACTTTAATTAAATCAGACATTTAACTTCCTGTTCTACATTATTAATTCCAAGGCAAGTACTTTCTTTACTAAAGACTAACATTGCTACCAGTTACCAAACCTGGGAAATTAGTTGGGTCTTATCCATTTGCCTTAAAGAAATTAGCTTTAGAAGTATCTTGAACTTTGGTCCAGTAAACAGTATCGACTTTGCATTTACCATAATAATAATCTATTTAATTTATTCAAAATATTATTTAAAGTTAAAAGATTTATTTTAAAATAAAATAATCAATCAATTCTCTCTTAACATTCTTAATCAATGATTATTTAATTTTTTGACTTATTTATTCTTAATAAAAGATATTAGTGTTTGTTTTACTTTTAGCTGTTTTGTTAATTAAAGTTTGATTTTGTAGTAAACTAAAAATTAGTATAGACTTTTAATAAACTGTTGTTATTTTGTTTTTCTTTGTTACAAATACTATTGTAAATTATTACTTTACTAATTTTTTTACGATGCAAAATATCTATTTAATTGATTGATTATTTTAATGCTATTAATTTTTCGAAATATTAAAATATTACCTTTAAGAAGTTTGTAAGGTTTTTGTACTCCATCCCAATAGGCTAAAAAGGAGTCTATGCACATTCCTTATTGCTCAGAGAGGTAGAGTTCGCTCAAACCTAATTAGTTAGCATTACCTCTTTATAGCCAGAGTCCAGTGGTACCGATTTATTCATCAGTTGGATTGACTTAAGATGTAGAAATTGATTATACAGGGCATTTTTAATTTTTTGGAACACAGAAAGCGATTAAAGGATCTGATCCACCACACATTTTTTCGTTCGCAGGATCTCTGCATTAACCATTAATAAGGAATTTTTATGAAAATTTGTAGCCAGGAAGACGTGTGAAGCAGAGACGAAGAGGATTTCCACTTGCATCTATCCAATTTTGCATAACTGTTTTAGGAATTGCTTTAACGTTGGCGCATGTTGCAGCCTATGAAGATGAACAAGAGCTTGTTGAAACAGAGCCTCCTGAGCTAGTGCAGTCACAGCCACTACTCAAACCGCCAAATTGATAAGCCAAAGCAGGTAAATTGGTTTGAGTACATTATCCTGTTTTAGCATCTACTTATGCGACGTCAATAATAACTTCATTACTCCAGTTAATAGCATATTCTACAAAAATAAATCCCTGCTTGTAGTTAATTCCTGACACAACACTAAGTACTAGTACAACTACTGATACAATAATAGCTAGAACTGTGAAAAAGCCATTACTGCATCTAAGAGATTTAGGGGATAAGTTGCAGCACATTTATTTGTATATTTGTTTATTTATCTATTTGATTTTTTAATACTTTTTAAACTATTATGAGATTGTAAATCAGCTAATACGAATTTAATTAATTTGAAAGATCTCTAAAAAATCGATATCACATATTACTGTTCATGATTTTCGAAATTCAATCTTTCATCTGTAATATCTCATTCGAATTCAATGCATTTAACAATAAATTGATTCATAATAAATTTACACCATTGGAAATTCAAAAAATAATAATAGCTACATTAGCGAAATACATTGATTCTGTCCAAATATGAAATAAAAAACTTGTTATTTAACAATTTATTATAAAAGATTTTACTTTTTCCTACAATTTCAAACGGGAGTTTTAATTTTTTAGCAATAAAACCTTAAATCTGAGAAAAAAATTAACAAAAATTTTTAAATAAAATTGATTTAAATAAGATATTTAGGAAAAACTTCAAATTTATATGTTTGTTTATTTTTTTGCTTGTTAGATTGATAAAAAAATATGCTTTAGATCATTACATCTAAATGCATGCTTATTATCACTTTGATTTGTTCGAGCAAATTTATTAATTAATTTTATATTTAATTAGTTTTTTAAATTTTATTGGAGAAGATAATGTATTGATTGTAAACTTAATTATTGTTAGTTGAAAAAATCTAAAGGCAAATAAATAATTTAGTAAATAAATAAAAACAGAAAAAGGTAATTAATCTTATAAACTTCATGATATACATTCGATTTATAATTAAAAGATTTTCTTGTAATATTTGATTGATTTAATATTTGTTAAATCAATTATAAAACCTAAATCTAATCACATAAATTCTGAATGGAAATTAGTTCATAAATTAATTTATTTGCTAATTAGAATTTCACTAATTTTAGATTAGTTTTTTTGAATTTCTTGTCGTAACTCGAAATTCATTAAAGGAGCAATCATAATAAATTATCAGTAGCAATTTTTATTTTTGTAGTTCATTTATTTTTTTCTAAATTTTGAATAAAGACATAAAGCTAGAACAATTAAATTGTTAATTTGTGAGTTAAAAAACACGTTTATGTAATAAACACAAATAAATAATGGTTTTTTAACAGATTAAAAGAATAAAAATAATATAATTTTCTGTATTTAAAATCTAAGAGAGATGAATTAGAGATTAGCCTAAAAAAATTTTTAATATTTTATTTATCTCTTTAATTATGAATTCTTGCGATTAATCTAATCAATGGTATTTACTAAACTTATTTATTTATTTATTAGATCTCTTTCTTATATTAAAATCTATAAATTCAAGCTAAATAACAAATTTTACTCAAACAAATTTGAATTATGTTTGGTTTTTTTCAAAAATAATCCAATTCAACTAAAATATAAAAAGTTTTCATTGCACTTTACTTGCATTACAGTGTTTGAAAAAATTATTTAGATTAAATTATTTCACTTACTTTTAAATAATCTTAACAAACCAAACATCTGATTCATTTCTATTAATACTAAAATAGCTTATTAAGATATATTTAATTAATTTTAAAGCAAAGCAAATTTATATTTTCTTTTTGAATGTAAATCCTAAAGCAAATTTATAATAATATTTGCTTTCTCATTTTTAGAACTTAGGATTTTGCTTTTAAAATGGATTTTAAAAAAAGTAATTAGATATCAAAATTATTATTTACATAAAAAATTTGTTTGTTTTATTCTTATTTTTACACTTAATCTTTTTATTAAATTTCTAGTAAAATCAAATAAGAAGCTCTAAAACAAATTTTTATTAATAAACAAATTAATTAAAATTTTACATATTTTTTTTTATTTAGCAATTTATTGAATAAATTTTATTTACAGCTAATTAATTTTGATTTCTATGAAAATAGGTGATTGTATTTACTCATAAAAGTTGATCCATTATAAATTGTTTAATCCTTTATTAAAATCAATAAAAAATATATTCATTAAAAATAAAGAAACAAGCATAACTTCATTCTAATTTACTCTAAAATTGAATATTTTCCATCGTTCATTAATTTATTAAAAATCTTTTAATTCATTTTTAGTCAATTATTAACATCTTTCCTTATTTACCTCTCCTCCAAATTAATTAATATTAAAAATCAAAGAAAATAAACAGATATAACTCAAAAATAATTTCATTTATCTTTAATAATTATTTATTTATTTGATTTTATGGTTATTAATTTATTTATTTATTTGATAAAATGATTATAAATTTATTTATTTTAATTTTGTTTATTTATTTATTTGTAGATTTATTCATTCATTCATTCATTCATTCATTCATTCATTCATTCATTCATTGTGCCTCCAAAACCTATTTTGTGTGAAAATATATCAAAATTTGGTGGTATTATTTTTGCTGTACTTTTAAATCATATTTTAATTAAAGCCTGTAGATATGATTAGCCAAAGACTTTTTAAACTAATATACAAATAATAAATATAATTTATTTTTATCTTAAGCAAACTTCAAATATTTTAATTAGCAAAAAAAATATCTTTTGTCTAAAAATTTTTTTCAAAATTTCTAAAATTATGAAAAATATACTTTTATTAACATTTTTATTGACTCTCAGTTTTTCTTAGAAAACTCCAATTCCCTTTACTATTATTGACACACCTGAAAATGCTAGGTGCTTAGATGGTAGCAAACCAGGAATTTACTATCGTCCAGGAGAGCACAAAAGAAATACTCTCATATATTTAGAAGGTGTTGGCAATTGTGCAGGTCCTACTGTAGATGACATTCTTGAAAATTGTTATTAAAGATCTTTTACTTTAATTGGTTCGTCTAAATATAGACCTTCGTTCTTCAATGAATCTGAAATTGAAGGAATTTTCAGAGAAGATGATAAAACTTTTGGAAGATGGAATCTTCTGATTATTCCTACTTGCGAAGGTAATTTGATTCAGTTGATATTAAATATTCTAATTTTAGAAAAGTAGTTTATATTAAATGTAATTCTAAGGAAAAAATAAAATATATTAGCTTTAATTATGAGTTAATAAAGATATATTACTTTAAAAAATCATTTATAATAAAATAGGTGCTACTTATGCAGGAGATGCTTCAGTTTAATATAAAAATACTACTTTGCATTTCAGGGCACAAAGAATGCTTGTGTTTATATTTAATTATATGATTAAAAATTATTAGCTAAATTTGAATCATAATGTTATACTATCTGGAAGTTCAGCTGGTGCTTTGGGTGCCTATTAATATGCAAATTATCTTTAAAAAATATTACCATCAACTGATGTAAGAATAGTTCCTGATTCTGGTTTCTTTTTAGACAGTCCTGAACCCTTTTAATAAATTGTTTAGGTATTTGGCAACTTTATTAAGAATGATCATTACAAAACTATATTCCCTGAATGCAAGTATTAAACTATTGGCTCTGATTTCTACAAATGCATTCTTCCAAAGTATTCTTGGGAATTCATTTAAACAGATGCATTTATTATTGGTTCTTTATATGACAATTGGGCTTTATAGTATATTTATTAAATTCCTTGCTACAATCATTTCGATTAGTGTGATCCTGAAACTCTTTAATTTATTTTATCTTATGGAGAAACATATAAGATGCTTCTATCTAATATTTTATCTAAGAAACCCAATTGGGGTAGTTGGTTGATTAGTTGTGGTTTCCATGATTTGGTCCAAACCAATTGGTATTCAAATAGAAACTTCACAATTCCCAGCTCTTTTAAATATACAGGTCAAGAATCTTTAGATCAATGGATTAACTATAGGTTTTTAAAATCTAAATAGCGTATTGATTAAGTTCCTTATCCTAATAATAAAAACTGCGCTTATTAATACAAATGATTACATCTTGTAATTAAATATTTTTTTTACCAAATTATTATTCAATCTTTCATCAGAAAACTAATAAATGTTATTCTTAATTTCAGGTTGAATTTATTTTGTTTACAATAAAAAAATTAATTTTGTTTAATTCTGAACATAGAAAGTATAAATAAATATTATTTTAGATTAAAAAAGAAATGTTTATATTTACTTTTAATAAATAAAAAGTAAAATTATTTTTTTTAATTTTTCTTTTAAAATTGAGGAATTTAAGTTAAAAAGCAATAGACAAGCCAGCAATTTAAATATTTTAGGTCAACTTTATCTTTTGAGTTTTAAAAAAATAAATAAAAACTTTAGTTTAGGTCAATATTAATAAAAAAGATATTTTAAAATTAATGAAAATTTTAAAGAAATCACAAATTCAAAAAAATAACTTGAAAATAAAAAAAATGAAAGATTATTATTAAATTTTGAAGTGTTTTAATTATTTTACAACATAAATCATTCATTAATTTGTTCATTTTCATATTCTTACTTCTGCTGATAGAAAGTATCAGATAAAAATAAAAAAATTTTATCATTTTAAAATAATTAGCATTCAGTATTCGGTTGGCATAATATCTATCCCTAATATTTAGTTGTTTTTAATCGCGAAAATACAAAACTAAATTGAATGAATGAATGAATGAATTATTATTTAAATAAATTTAGATTAATGAGAAAATATACTAATATTTTTTAAAATTTGAGATTAGTTTATGCATTGATACATGTATACATGTTGAATAATAGGTAAGTATTAATTTTTAAAAATGAAAAATGTAATTTCAATATTGCTATTAAGGGTAGTTTTGTGGTTGTTAGTAGTAAACGGGTTGAGCTATTTGCATGGGCTACATATTCATTTATTAGTTTTATTGTTGCATCAAGGGTGGTTGAGCAGGCTAGTAAGGATTGACTTGTTATTAAGGATAAGGATAAGCTTGTTGTTAAGGATAAAGATTTTATTACAATTGCATAGATACATTTTATCCATTTTAAATTGGAGTTTCACCTACTACAGTAATTTAACTTAGAATAGTAGGTATTGTTTAATCACATTCATCAATTACTTTTACTTATTTGAGTTGACATTTCTATTTGAGCATAGCTCTTCTTTTAGAAACTTAGTTGCAGATGTAGGTGATGATGCCTAAAACTGAGAGACAAACATAAACTACTAAGATTGCTAGGACAACAGCATCTAAAGGATGTACTATATTGTTTAGACTGTCACTTGTTGATTAAATAGAACTATTGAAATCATCAGTTGAACAATTTAATTTAGCAATATTTGATAAAGAATTTTTGTAAGATTTGACATTTACGAAATTCATTGCACTTAAACCTAGCATTGCTAAGTCAAAGCCAAACTTAACAATAACCAAAAGGATATGTATAGGATCGACTAATCTGCAATAATCAAAGCAAGAATCTTCTAAGTCTTTTTTGGTCCAGCACTTTCTAATGCATTCAGGAGATCTTAAAGTGCAAATAGTAAGAGTGCAACCTTCTCTTAAGCAAGGACAGCAGCATAAGCTTGTCTTACAGCAACCTCTACAAGCACAGCATTTACGTTTTATTTGACTAGTGAAGCAGCCCATAAACAGGAATAGACAATAAATTCCTAAAAATACTACATTTCCAATACAGACTTTATATAAATACTTGTGGTTATTGTAATCGCTGACATAGTTAAGAGTTACATTAATTAAATCAGACATCTAACTACCTGTTCTACATTGTTAATTCCAAGGCAAGTATTTTCTTTATTGAAGACTAACATTGCTTCCAGTTACCAAACCAGGGAAATTAGTTGGATCCATTCCATTTGCTTTAAAAAAATTGGCTTTAGAAGTATCTTGAACCTTATTCCAGTAAACAGTATCGATTTTGCATTTTCCATAATAATAATCTATTTTATTTATTCAAAATATTATTTAAAGTTAAAATAAAACATATTTATTTTAAAATAAAAAAATCAATCAATCAATTCTCTCTTCTCATTCTTAATTAATCAAAATTTTATTTTTTTTTGACTTTTTTATTCTTAATAAAAACTATTTTATTTTTTAGAAAATTAAAATTTTATTTTGTAGTAAACCAAAAAAAATAATAATAAAAAACTGTTATTCGTGTTTTTATTTATTTTTCTTTATTATCAACACTATTTATTGGATTTAAATAATTCTTTTATGATATAAAATTTAGAGTTAATTGATTTGATTATTTTAATGCTATTAATTTTGGAAATATTAAAATTTTACCTTTAAGAAGTTTGTAAGGTGTTTATACTCCATCCCAATAGGCTTCAAGGGAGTCTATGCACATTCCTTATTGCTCAGAAAGGTAGAGTTCGCTCAAGCCTAACTAGTTAGCATTACCTCTTTATAACCAAAGTCCAGTGGTGCCGATTTATTCGTCAGTAGGATTGACTTAAGATGTAGAAATTGATTATACAGGGCATTTTTAATTATTGGGAACACAGAAAGCGATTAAAGGATTTGATCCACCACACATTTTTTCGTTAGCAGGATCTCTACATTAGCTGTTAATAAGGAATTTTTCTGAAAATTTGTAGCCAGGAAGACGTGTGAAGCAGAGACGAAGAGGATTTCCGCTAGCATCTATCCAATTTTGCATGGTTGTTTAAGGAATTGCTTTTACTTTTGAACATGTCGCAGCCTATGAAGAAGAACAAGAGCTTGTTGAAACAGAGCCTCCTGAGCTAGTGCAGTCACAACCACTACTTAAACCACCAAATTGATAAGCCAAAGCAGGTAAATTTGTTTGGGTACATTATCCTGTTTAAGCATCTACATATGCGACATCAATAATAACTTCATTATTCCAGTTAACAGCATATTCCACAAAAATAAATCCCTGTTTGTAGTTAACTCCTGAAACAACACTGAGCACTAGTACAACTACTGATACAATTATAGCTAGAACTGTCAAAAAACCATTACTGCATCTAAGTGATTTAGGTGATAAGTTGCAGCACATTTATTTGTGTATTTATTTATTTACTTACTTACTTATTTGAGTTATTTGATTTTTTAATTTAATACTTTTTTAAAATATTATGAGATAGTAAATCAGGTAAATGAATTTAATTAATTTTACAGATCTCTAAAAATTGGATAAAAAATATTACTGTTCATTATTTTTTGAAATTCAATCTTTCATCTGTAATTTCTCATTCGAATTCAATACATTTAACACAAAATTGATTGATAATAAATTCTAACCATTGGAAATTCAAAAAATAATAACAATGATTAATTTAAAAGTCTCTGCTTGTAATAGCTCAATTATCAATTAGCTAAGCACATTAATTATGTAGTCCAAATATGAAATTCTCTTAAATTTAAAGAAACTTGTTACTTAATATTATATAAAATATTCTACTTTTTCCTTCAATTTCAAAAGGGAATTTAAATACTACAATATTAACACCTTAAACCTGAAAAAAAATCAACAAAATTTAAAAAATAAAATTGATTTTAAACAAGATATTTTTGGAAAAACTTCAAATTCGTTTTTTTTGTTAGTTTGCTTGCTTAATTGCTTGTTTATATGTTTTAATAAAGGAAATATGCTTAAGTTATTACATCTAAATGCATGAATCTAATCAATTTATTTGATTTTTTCGAACAAATTTATTAATTAAATTTATAATTTAGTTTTTTAAATTTTATTGGTAACGAAAATTTATTGATTGTAAACTTAATTTTATTAGATGAAAAATTTCATGATATGCATTTAATTTATAGTCAATAGAATATCTTGCAGTATTTGATTGATTTAATTTGTTAGACATTCAATTTTAAAACAAAAATCTAATCACATAAATTCTGGGTGGAAATAAATTCATCAATCAATTTATTTTTTTATTTATTTCCTTATAGAATTTCATTAATTTTAGATTAGTTTTTTGAATATCTTATCATAACTCGAAATTCATAAAGAAAGCAATCGATCATAATAAATTATCAGTAACAATTTTTATTTTTTTGTTCATTTCTTTTTTTACTAAATTTTGAAAAAAAACAAGAAAAATTTGAACATAATACTAAATTGTTAATTTATGAATTAATAAAACAGGTTGATTTGACAAATAAAAATAATGGTTTTGAACAGATTACATTATATATTTAAAAATCATATATCTTTCTTTATAAATCTAAAATTTATCAAAGATAAAAAAAGAAATTGATGTAAAAAAATTTTTAATATTTTATTTGTCTCTTTAATTTTGAATTCTTGCAATAAAGCCATTTATTTATTAGATTTTTTTCTTATATTTTAATCTAGCAATTCAAACTAAATTATAAATTTTACTCAAGCAAATTTCTAATTTTATTACTATTGCAAGTAAAATTATAACATTAGAATTATGTTTGATTTATTTAAAAAATAATCTAATTTAAATAAGATATAAACAGTTTATAATGCACCTTACTTGCATTACATTTGGTATAATCATTTAGATTAAATTTTTTCAAAATTTTTTGGGAGTTTCTAAACAAATTAAAAGTAATTAGTTAGATATCAATGCTTTTATTTACAGAAAATATAGTTGGTTTTTCTCTTATTTATACACAAATTTTTTACCCAATTTCTAGTAAAATCAAATAACAAACTCTTAAAAAAATTTTTATTTTGAATTGGCAACTTATTGAAAAAATTTTATTTACATACATCTAATTAATTTTGATTTTTATCAAAAAAGTTATTGTATTTACTCATAAAATTTGATCCATTAGAAGTGTTGTGTAATCATTTATCTTATCAATAAAAAATATACTTCTAATTCATTATAAAATAAATAAACGAGCACAACTTAATGTTAATTTACTCTAAAATTTAATATTTTCGATTGTCCAATAATTCATTAAAAATATTTAAAAAACATTTTAAGACAATTAATTATTAACATACTTCCTTATTTATCTCTCTTTCAAATTAATTAATATTTAAAATCAAAGAAAGTAGATAAATGTACTTCAAAGTTAAATTTATTTCTCATTTTTTTATTTATTTGATAATTTATTTATTTTATTTTATTTTATTTTTTGTTTATTTATTAGTTGATTCATTCATTCATAATACCTCCAAAACCTATTTTGTATGAATATCAAAATTTAGTGATATTATTTTCGCTCTAAAATCTTATTTTAATTAAAGTATGTGCAGTTGATCAATCAATCAAACACTTTTTAAACTGATAAGTAAATTAATAGTGCTAATTAATTATTTGTTTAGTACACTTCAAATATCTTAATTAGCAAAAAATATCTTTTGTTTAAAAAGCTTTTTATCAAAATTTATAAAATTTTCAAAAATACACTTTTATTAACTCTTTTATTGACTTTCAATTTTTGTTAGAAAACTCCAATTCCCTTTACTATTATTGACACACCTGAAAATGCTAGGTGCTTAGATGGTAGCAAACCAGGAATTTACTATCGTCCAGGAGAGCACAAAAGAAATACTCTCATATATTTGGAAGGTGTTGGCAATTGTGCTGGTCATACTGTAGATGACATTCTTGAAAATTGTTATTAAAGATCTTTTACTTTAATCGGTTCGTCTAAATATAGACCTTCGTTCTTCAATGAATCTGAAATCGAAGGAATTTTCAGAGAAGATGATAAAACTTTTGGAAGATGGAATCTTCTAATTATTCCTACTTGCGAAGGTAATTTGATTCAGTTGATATTAAATATTCTAATTTTAGTAAAGTAGTTTATATTAAATATAATTCTAAGGAAAAAATAAAAAATATTAGCTTTAATTATGAGTTAATAAAGATATATTACTTTAAAAAATCATTTATAATAAAATAGGTGCTTGCTACTTATGCAGGAGATGCTTCTGTTGAATATAAAAATACTACTTTGCATTTCAGGGCACAAAAAAATGCTTATGTTTATCTTTGATTATATGATTAAAAATTATTAGCTAAATTTGAATCATAATGTTATACTATCTGGAAGTTCAGCTGGTGCTTTTGGTGCCCATTAATATGCAAATTATCTTTAAAAAATATTACCATTAACTGATGTAAGAATAATTCCTGATTCTGGTTTCTTTTTAGACAGTCCTGAACCCTTTTAATAAATTGTTTAGGTATTTGGCAACTTTATTAAGAATGATCATTACAAAACTATATTCCCTGAATGCAAGTATTAAACTATTGGCTCTGATTTCTACAAATGCATTCTTCTAAAGTATTCTTGGGAATTCATTTAAACAGATGCATTTATTATTGGTTCTTTATATGACAATTGGGCTTTATAGTATATTTATTAAATTCCTTGCTACAATCATTTCGATTAGTGTGATCCTGAAACTCTTTAATTTATTTTATCTTATGGAGAAACATATAAGATGCTTCTATCTAATATTTTATCTAAGAAACCCAATTGGGGTAGTTGGTTGATTAGTTGTGGTTTCCATGATTTCGTCCAAACCAATTGGTATTCAAATAGAAACTTCACAATTCCCAGCTCTTCTAAATATACAGGTCAAGAATCTTTAGATCAATGGATTAACTATAGGTTTTTGAAATCTAAATAGCGTATTGATTAAGTTCCTTACCCTAATAATAAAAACTGCGCTTATTAATACAAATGATTGCATTTTTTTATTTAATATTTTTTACCAAATTATTATTAAATCTTTCATCAGAAAACTAATAAATATTATTCTTAATTTCAGGTTGAATTAATTTATTTTGTTTACAATAAAAAAATTAATTTTGTTTAATTCTGAACATACAAAGTATAAAAAAATCTTATTTTGATTAAAAAAGAAATGTTTATGTTTACTTTTAATAAATAAAAAGTAAAATTATTTTTTTTAATTTTTCTTTTAAAATTGAGGAATTTAAGTTAAAAAGCAATAAACAAACCAATCAATTTCAATATTTTAGGTCAACTTTATATTTGGAGTTTTAAAAAAAATAAATAAAAACTTTAATTTATTAAAGTTTTAAATAAATTAAAAATAATATAATATCAAATATTTATTAAAAAAATATATTTACTGTAACTTCATAGCATAAAATCATTAATTTATTGAATTACTAAATTATTAAATAAAATATCTATTTTTTACTTCTTTTTACGAATTTACGAAAATAAAAAAATAAAACGAACGATTTCTGTGAAAGATTTGATTTTATCGAAAAGGTTTTAATTAATTTCACAGTCAATTTTGATTTTGAAACTTTCCTTTTTTAAATTCTTCTTATTGTCTGTCTGACTGGATATATATATATATATACTTAACTGATGAAAAGTTACCTCACATATTTAAGGTGGGATCGAAGGGTTAAAATTAAAAAGAAATAATATTTAAGAAAATGTGTTTGTTAATAAGAAGTTCTTTTTAAAAAAATGAACGAAAAATAGTTTGTCATTTTTATAATGAAAAGTATAAAAATTGATTTAAATGAAAAAAAATTAATAAAATAATTCATTTTTTAAAAATAAAACTTAAAATTAATGTAAAAAATAAAATCTTTGAGGTTCGTTCATTCAAAAAAACTAAAAACTATTAGAGCTTGTTTAATTCATATGAATTGATTTTTTTTAAATAAATGAGAATACTTGATTTATTTTAAAATAAAAATATTGACGAATTAACTTAAATATTAAAAAATTTTTCAATAATTACAATATTAAACTTAGAATTATTATTAAATATTTTTTAATTGAATTTATTAAAAATATTTTTTTTATGTTTATTTAATTATATTTTTCAAGATCTTAGAACAATAAATAATTAATGTGAATTAAATAAGTTAATAGCACATATAACCCATTTGTAGAAAAATTAAAAAATATAAAGCATTATGTACCTTCATTAATTATACCAGAATATCCTCTTTAATTTGTTCATAAATATATAATTATCTTAATTGAAAATTTTAAAAATGATCTAAAATGAAATTTTTATTATTTTAGAAAGTTTAATTTATATTAAGACATAAGTTGATTAGTAACTTATTAATTAATTAATATATCATATTTATTTACTTTTGAACTATTTTAATGTTATAATTTATTTTTTAAAAATTAATTTTTTGTATTTAATAATCAATCAATTGTTTGTTTTTTAAATTAATGTGCTGTATAACAAACTAAAAAAAAAAAAAAAGAACATAATAAAAAATGTAATTCACAAAACTATAAGATGTAATTAAGTATTTTTTAATATTTAAGCTTTAATTTTGCTATTAAAATAGATTATAAATTCCCCTGATATCCAGTCTTACTCTGAGATAGAAATCGACCTTTGGTATAACTCATAAAATTTAAATTATCAATTTATTATTTTCTAAATTAAATTCAAGTATTATTTTTCATAAATAAAATTTTAAAAATATATTTTTCTAGTTAGTTAGTTAATTAGTTAGTAGTTGCTTAATCTGAGTTCTTTTTTAAAAAATATTATAAGTTTTCTTCTTCATCATTTTTTTTTTCTTACTAGAAATTAATTAAAAATATATTAAAAGGGGAAATTAAGTTGGTTAGCAAGGTGCTTCTAGAATAAGTTCTACTTTAGCTAAATGCAACAATCTCTGCAATTTAATTTTAAATTTAAAGTAAATTTATTTTTTAACAAAATATATTTGAAAAGTATTTTTTATTTGAATTTATTTTAGGAAGATAATTTGAATATTTTTAATTTTAACAATTTTTAAAATAAATAAATAAATTTATTTATCTATTAATTATTTTAAATATTTTCAAAGTAGGAATTAAATAAACTCATAAGGTATTTTAGAGTTAGGTTCTGCTTTTGTAAAATGTAAAAATCTCTCAGCTTTAACTCTATCTCTGACGTAAAATTCTTCTTTAATTTATTTGATTTTTTATATGAAATAAATAGATATAAAATCGTTATTGATTATTAATTGCTTGCATTTATTTTTCATTAAAATATTTTCCCATTTAAATCTAATTTAAATATTTATACAATTTTTTCTAAAATTGACTATTTAAATCGATAAATTAATATTTTAAAAGAGATAATTGTATTGAGGGAAAGGGAGCATTAAATTTGGGTTCTTCTTTAACAAAATGTATTAATCTTTCAACTTTAAAACTTAATCTTATGTAAATAAATTTTTTTGTTTGATTTTTATTTTCAAACTATTGAAAATTATTTAACATATGGTCTTTTATTTATTTTTTTAGGTTATGAAATTTTTTTTTTAATTTGTTGAAGTTTTATCAATTTTATTTTTTATTTAACAAAAAAAATAATTTTATCATTTTCAATTCAAAGTTTTATTAATTTCTATTTCCACTTTATTTTTCCATAATTAATAAATTTATTCATTTTTATGATTTGAACAAATAATTTTTAAAAGCCAAAATTAAATTGGTGATGAAGGTTGTTAAGCTTTAGGCTCCTCTTTGAAAAACTGCTCTAAGCTGTCCAATTTAGTGCTTATCTTGTGGTAATGTTATTTTATTAGTGGCAAAGAGTATTTAAAAAATAAGCTACTAATTTTTAAAAACTTTAAACTATTTGTTTATCTATCCTTTAATTAAAACCTATAATTTATAATTTATATTGGTTGCTGCTTAAAATTAACTTAAATTCTTTAAAAAGTAATAATAAAATTAGTGTTCAGGGTGCTCAAGAGTTAGGCATTGGATTATCATAATGCAGCAAGCTCTTGTATTTGTCGCTTGATCTTTAGTAAAAATATTTTAAGATTTATCTAAAAATAATAATCTAAAAATTTTAACTTTGAAAACAAATAAATTATCTCAGTTATAATCTTTAAAAATGTTATATGTTTTTTAACTTTTAGATTATATTATTATATGCTTATTTATTTTATCTAATCTTAAATAATTTTTTAAAATATTAAAAGTAATAATAAAATTGGTAACCCTGGCTCAAAAATCTTAGGCTTTAATTTAGCAAAGTGTAGCCATATTAAACATTTTATAATCTACCTTTAGTAAAATATTTATTTTTATTCTTTTTAGATATTAATTTTTATATATTTTATTAATATTTAATTTAATTAAAAATTTTTTTATAAATATTTGGACTTTAAAACATTAATATTCAATTCAACTATAAATTATAAATAGAAACAATTTGATATCATATGCAAAACAATTGGATTTCAAAAGTTAAATTTGTAAATAAAAGAGATTAGTTACCAAAAAAATATATTTCTGATTAATTTAGCTTTAATTTTATGTGCAATTATTTTTATTAAGAAATTTTAGTAAATTAATTTATTTAAATTGCAATTTAATATTTGTAAAACTATTTGTTTTTATCCTTAATTTAATTATACACTATACATTTTTTAAAATATTTAAAATTAAATAGAAAATTAGTTGTTTTGTTTGGTTAAAAAAATCATATTTAGAACTAAATATATGGAAAAGGTATTTTAAGGCCACCTCGATTTCAGTTTAGAAATCTCACTAACTTATCAGCTTTAAGTTTAAAATAATTAAAAAGCTTTTTTATAACTTTTTGAAAGAAATTAATAATTTTATTTGTTTATTTTGCTTATTTCTTTTGTTAATTAAAAATTTATTTTTTAAGAATTTAACAAATTTGTTAATACAACATAAGTTCATTTAGTGAAAGTTATATTTCCAAAAATAGCAGTGATATTAATTTACCTTAAAGTTAAATTAATTTAAATGGCTAATTTAATATTTGAGAAATTAAAAAAATAGAGGTCTTAATAATTAATTAAAGTAATTAAATATCATTTATAATTTTAGCAATTTTCATAAATAATGTAACACAAAAGCTTATTCCATTCATCTTATTTAATACTAGTTAAACATAAATTTAATTTAAATCAAAAAATAATAATATTTGTACTAACATTTTTATTTAAGATTGATAAAAATTCTAATATATTTAAACTAAATATTTTAAGATTGATTTCATAATTAAAAATTACTCCATTAAGATTTGGATAGACATTTGATTAGTGTAAAATAGACAGTTTATTTTATTTGAAAATAATCCTATTAATTATATCAAACAAATTTTTTGTGTAAATTACAAAATTAAATCTAAAATAGTAATTTTGAATGGCTAGCAAAATAATTTGAAAACCCCTAAGTATCATGAAAGTTTACGAATTGTTACAAATCCTTTATTATTAATTTAATTGATGAAACTAAAAAATACAATTTTGTGATTAATAATAAATCTGATTTACCTTACAAATTTATCATTTAATCAGAATTAATAACATCGTAATAACAGCTCGAATATTGCAAAAGTAAATCTAAAATCAAAAATAAATTTGGTGGTGAAAATTTTGTTCTATTTTAACAATGAATGAGTGAATGAATTTATGAATAAAATTTAGGATATTGCTTTTGATAAATAAATATTTGATAGAAAACAGATATCAAACAAAAATATATCTTTGCTTATTTGAAATTTTAAGTGTCAATTAAGAATTAGCTAAAAACAAATAATTAATTATCAAAATTAAATAAATTATTGCTAAATTAATATAAAAAAATGAAGAGTCTGCTCTTAATAACTCTATTGGTTGTTCTTTGTTTCTCTTAGAAAACCCCTATTCCTTTCACAATCATTGATACTCCTGAAAATGCCAGATGCTTAGATGGTAGCAAGCCTGGTATTTATTATCGTCCTGGAGAAAGCAAAAGAAATACTCTTATCTATTTGGAAGGTGTTGGAAACTGTGCTGGTCCTACTGTAGATTCCATTCTCGAAAACTGTTATTAGAGATCTTTTACTTATATTGGTTCATCCAAGTACAGATAACCTTACTTGAACTCCTCTATGGTATAGGGAATTTTCAGGGAAGACGATAAAACATTTGGAAGATGGAATCTTCTTATTATCCCTACTTGTGAAGGTAATTACTTTCTTTCTTTACTTTTTATTGCATTTTATTAAAGATTATTTACTTCTACAAGCTCTTCTTCTTCTTTTTACTTAATTTAATTTTTCCATACAAAACTTAGCCAAACAATAAAATTATTATTAAGTAGAAATAAAATTAGAAATAAAAATATTTTAAAAATTAAATTAAATTAAATAGGTGCCACTTATGCTGGTGATATGTCTGTATAATATAAGAATACCACTTTACATTTTAGAGGTTAAAGAATGCTTTAACATATATTTGACTATATGGTTAAGGAACATAAATTAGACAAAAATCATAATGTAATTTTAACAGGTGGTTCAGCTGGTGCTTTGGGTGCATTTTAATATGCAAACTATCTTTAAAAATTGCTCCCATACACTGATGTTAGAATCGCTCCTGATTCTGGATTCTTTTTAGATAGCCCTTAACCTTTCCAATAAATTCTTGAAGTTTTCGGTAACTTTATTAAGAATGACCACTACTAAACTATTTTCCCTGAATGCACATACCAAACTAATGGTACTGAATTCTATAAATGTATTCTTCCTAAATACTCCTGGGAGTTCATACAAACTGATGCTTTTATTATTGGATCTTTATATGACAATTGGGCTTTGCAATATATTTACTAAATTCCATGCTATAATCATTTCGATTAATGTGATCCTGCCACTCTTTAATTTGTTATGTCTTATGGTGAGACTTACAGAACTCTTTTAGGAAATATTTTGGCCCAAAGACCTAACTGGGGAAGTTGGTTAGTTAGCTGTGGCTTCCATGGCTTTATCCATACTGATTGGTACGAAGATAAGGACTTCGCTATTCCCTCTGGCTCTAAGCATACATGCTAAAAATCACTTGATTAATGGGTACATTACAGATTTTTAACATAAAAATAACGTATCGAATAAGTCCCCTATCCTGAAAATGAAAACTGTGCACATTTATATAAATGAATAAGTTAATGAATTGAATTTATCTATAAAATTGATATTGATTCATCTATTTTTATTTGTAAAGTAAGCAAATACATTAATTAGTGATTAAAATTATCCTAATTAACACATTATTTATTGTTTTCAGCTGTTTACATTTAATTAAAAATAATTAATTACAAATTTAATTAGTACCAAATTCTGAATTAGCAGTATTAGTTTACAGTTTGTTTTTGGATTTTAACATAAATAAAATAAGATTAGAAGATATGTATCCTAACATTTTTTTAAATTATCACTTATATGTAAAGATTTATTTATCAAAAAAAATATTCATTTTAATGAATTTCTTTATGTTTAGAATAAAAAAATTATTGAAGAATTAAAATATATTGCAAAATAAATAAAAAATAAATAAATATTTGGCAAAAAGTTAAAAATAAACAAACATTTAATTTTTTTTGCTTGTGATATTATTGTAAACAATTAATTTAATTCCATGAATTTAGTAAAAAACTTTTGTATGATACTTAAAATGAGATCTATCTTGTTACAAATTAAATTAAAATTTTTTATTTGTATGTGAAGAATGAAATCAATAAAATAAGAAAATTATTAATTATTATTTACCTCATAAAATTATATTTTTAATAAAAAATTATCTAAAACAAAAAGATTTTCTCAGAATTAAGATGAAATTTGAACTTAAAAAACAAACTTATGAAAAAATAAGAATTCTAGGATTTGCTCGTACTATTTAATAAAAAATATGATGAAAAAATTTTGTTTACACTAAGCATTTGCCTAAATTTCTTTTAATATTAATTAGTATAACTTTTCCAAAATTAAAAGTATATCTGGAATCTAGAATTCGATGGTTATTAAGTATTATATAAGAACTTGATCAGAGCTCTTAGTAAAAACTACTAAAACCAAATTTTAAGTTATGCAGAATACATCAACTATAACAATAAAACCATTACATTTCATCCCAAACATATAAAAAAAGTTATTTCAATATATTAATAAAATAATATCAATTTCATCAATATTTATTGGAAACATTAAGGCTCTTTCTTTTTTGCAGATAATCTGGAATAACTTAATTCAAATTAGAAGCTTTTATCACAACAAGAATAAAATATTTACCTTCGAGAATATTTAATCAAGAGAGAGAATTATTCAAATAAAGGAAAGAAAAGATAATATCCTACATTAATGGACCCAAATAAAAACTAAAGAAGAGTTAAAAGAAGAAAAAAAAAACATCTCATTTATAAAATGATTTTAGAATGAATAATAATGGAACATTCAAACAATTTACTCATAAATATGATCAACTAATATAAATAAAAGTAAGATAAAAAATAGCACCAGATCCATTTTGGCTAATTCATATATTGATTCATATAAAAATAAGTAAAAAACTGATGAGAATCTACCTAAAAATAAGAAACAAAGTTCAACATTAGATTTAAAATCCATTCTGGACAATATGAAGATACAATGTTTACACAATTATATTGATTGAAATCATAAAAATAAATGAAAATAAAATAATATTTAATAATAAATATAGTCGTCTATAATTATGTATTATATATTTTATATGTTTGTAGTAAGTAAATCAATATAGAAATTTATAATGCAAAACTATAGGATATATTTAATTATGTTTTGTTTATTTATTTATTTACAAATTAAATTATAATATTTTCTTCGCGGAAACATATTTATTGAAAAATCAAAATATTGTCGTAATTTATAATCTAAATTAAAAAGATATTAAAAAAATTAAAGTTTGAATTTTTGTTTGTTTGCTTAAAATCTATCAAAATGATATTTGAAAGGTAGGAGAATTAAGTTAAAATAGCTCTTAAAATAGGTCAAGATAAAATCAGTTAGCTGTAATAGGTTAGATAAATATATCTTAATGACTAATTTTAAACTATTTAAGAACTAGAAGATATTTTGCTTGAAGATATTACAGATGGTTTATATTTAGATTGCTCTTTAGATTTAGCTTTTCTACTAATACATGAATGTGCCAATGATAAGTATAGAATTGAGCACACTTTTAATAGATTATTTTAGCATTATTTGAAAAATGAAAAAAGTGATCATTTAATTAATATCCTTTCTTTCTTATTGAACTATTTTCATGAATACATTTATTTATAAGGTGATAAACTTTTTGGGCAGCTCATATCGCAGGACTAAAGTAAAGTCCAAAAAATACTTAATTTGCTAAAAGTTGCTCTTAGGCCTCAAAAAAATTAGGTAAGGTCTTTAGATTTAAATATAGAAAAGCTAAATTCTATTTAGGGTAATGCCGCTGATGTTGAAGACATTTATAATTTAGTTGATGCATTGATAAAACTTGCTCAATAGACTATGTTCACTGGTAAAATGAAAGATGATAAATCAGTTGAAAAGGTAGATTAAAAAACTGAGGAATAACTTAAAATAGATGCTCTTAACGTGCTTCTTTTATTGAGGAATAAGCTGAATAAATAATAAAAGAAGAAAGCAATTGCTTTACTATCAAGTAACATCAACTTAATTGAAGCTATATGCTAGAAAGATGTAGATTTGATGACAGATTACCTCTACTTTCTAAATACTTATTAAGAAGATTTTCACAAACAAAAAGAAATATTAGTTTTAGAAAAAATGTGTGAAATTATTAACTAATATCTTAAAAATATAACCATTAATGAATATATTTACAAAATTAATTATCAAGAGAAATTTCCTTTTTCTCGATAGCTACAAACTTATTTAAAACTCTTTTAAAAGACTGAAGGAGGTAAAGAAGCAACCTTAGAATTAAATAAATTGTCTGAAATATACAGCAATCAAGAAAGATTTCTGCTTTGTAAGAATACAGCTTATGAAATTACAGTAAAACTATTTTTTTCACAAAAAAGAGAAAAAATTATGCAAAAAAACAGCACAATAATATTCGAAATAATCTTAAGCTTATCAAAATTATGCTTTAGCATCGATATGTCAAACGAAAATACGCCTCTTTATGATACTGAATTGTTTTCTTGCTTGAAAGGAGTTTATGACTTTATTTGTGAAGAAAAAAAAATTCAATTTCTGCATTTCCTCTACTCAAAATTAGCAGAAATAGATAAGGGAGCTGAAGTAATTAATGGTGTAGTTACTCAAGTAGAAATTGAAGATAAATTCACTGCAATAGGCTGCTATATAATTTTAGAGTATTTAAGTTCAAAATTAGTAGAGGATATGAAGGGATATTCGCTCAGATTTATGAATTTTATTAGCTATCATTTACTTGACGAGTACATTTTCCCATCTGTAGTATCGTTTTTAGCAGAGATGGCCAACTATTTTACTTCAAATATAACAGCATACCATAAAAGCTTTATGCCTCAGCTTGTTTCAATAATTTAACAAACAAAAAATCAATTAAAAAAGGAATCAATTATCGATACATTTGGAAAGCTATACGATTAGTTAATATTTTTGAGAATAAAGGACATGTATCCATACCTCAAAGACATTTTTTAATTTCTTGTTGAAGAATACACAAGCAAGGATTTCTTCGACAAGGAAATGACATACACTGATATTGTTTAGAATTTAATCATTTAAATAATTAACTTGAAAGACATAGAATTATATTTAAAAGAAGAAATTTTAAATTATGCTGATGCCTTCGTAAGCATGATTAACGATCCATAAGAAAGAAGCAAATTAATTGCAAAAAATCACTAGATAGTTTTATATGGTTTTTTGTGCTTTTAGATAAAGCAAGGAAGAGTTTCAAATGTGTTACTTGAATAAATAAGAGACATCGCGAATGAACTAGCTTAATAAATATATTCAAAAGGAGATAAAATGACTATAGAGGAAAGAACATTAGTCTATCTCTTCTTCAAAAAATTGACTGTATTTTCTCTAGGATCTTAAGAAATTTTTGATAAAATATTCCTTCTAATTTTACCTCGAGTTATATAAGATGCACAGAACGATGTCAGCGTTAAAAACTACTCTATTAAAGAAAGTAATATAGTCCAAGAAGCATTTGATGATATTGAGTTAGAAGTAATTTTTACAACTATTTTTTTCAAAATAAATTTTATTTAAATTATTTGATTAAATAAAATAAAATAATTTTTTAGTTAAAAATAAACAAAATTTTTTTAAGAGGAAAAATGATATAAAAATTAAATTATTAATTCTCTTAAAGCACAAAAATATTTTTTATTAATAAATGAATGAATTAAAAATAATAAATAAATAGGAAGAAAACCAAGGAGAGCAAGAGGAAGATTTAGACGCAGAATAATATGATTAATTTAATTATTTGATTCCTTCAGATACTAAAATAAGTTTGGTTGAATCTTCTTTATCGATTTTAGCAGTATTCAGTGAATAGTCGCCAGAAATTTTCATGAATTATAAGAAATTTGATATTTTAAATGTGTTAATTAATAATCAATTTAATTCTGATTTAACTGAAGATATAATTATTTAGAGTTAGTCGATAATTGGAAGAATATTTGTCTCTGTCTAGAAGTATTTAATAAGCTTAGAAAACCAAACTTAGGAGTAGTAGGATTTAGGACTGAATGATAATTAATTAGTTGAATTAGACCCTATAATTGATATTTTGCTTTATAGATTTCTGAATCACAAAATGCACTTATTTGTGCAAAAGTGTGAAGATAGACTTTACTAAGAGCTCAATAACACTCTTGAAAAATCTGATAAAAAAACTATATTTTCTTATTTTGATAAATTTTATGGGTTGGTGGAGAGTATTTTGTTTGAAAACATTAACACATGTGACACCAACAAAATAGGTAATTGTATTTATAGCATTATAGATATTTTAAAAGCGGCTCCATCTAAAATTATGCAAGCGCTACCTTAGACATGGAATATTATAAAATTAATTTTAACTGAAAAAGAAGAATTGTATGTAACCTATGAAGAATACATCAGCCAGTAAAAATAATAAGCTCGTGAAGATATTTCAAGCAATAATGAAGAGGATTTTTCTGAGAAATTTACAGAAGACCCATTTGTTGTTATTCGTTGCATATTTGAAATTTGGGAAATAATTAAAATATAGCCTGAATCATATAAAATATTTAAATCAGTATTTCACTACATTATTTTAAACTAAGAATTTCAACAGTATGAGCAATATCTCTAAAGTATTTGTGCTTACTTAAAGAAAATTATAAGACATTGTTAAAGTTATCTGAATGTGGAAGAAGTCCAAGCTTATTATTAAATTATTTAGAAGGTAGCTTTTAAAGTTGATGAAAACTATTTCAGAGAAATTAGTCCTGTAGAAAACCTAAGGATAGCATTTGCTATGCTACAAACCTATTTAGATAGTAGAATTCCTGATTAAAATATTCAATAAAATGATAGCTATACATTATTTTTGGAGATCATTCCATTGAGAGACGAAATTGGAGAATTCCCTCAAGTTTTATATATTTTTGAACATTTAATATAAAACAATTACGAGTTTAATGTCATATAGAAGAATAATGTTGTTAAAACAATTTTAAAAGCAATTAATGACCCAGGTGTATAAGATGTAGATGAAAAAAACTTGTAAATCAGCTTCAAAATCCTTAAAAAGTTATGCTAAAACGATTATGACAAATAAATTATACTTAAACATATTGAAAAAGAAATAACTAACTTTCAAAAGGAAGTTATCGTTAAATATTTAGAAATTTGAACTTCTTTTATTTTAGAAATTATTCATTAGATATTATTTATTCATTTTGTAAATTTTTTTTGCTAAATTGATTAAAAATAATATATTACTTTTGATATTTATTTCATAAAAATTTTAATTTGTTTTGGAGAAAATAAAAAATAAAAAATTAATAGTAGATAATTTTTCAATTATCACTTAAAAAAAAAGATTCTTGAAAAAATAGATATTTTATCTGATAATTTATTAATTGAATAAATTAATGATTTTATGTTACAATGAAGTTACACTAAATATATATTTTAATAAATATTTGATAATAATTTTAAAAATTATTATCACAAAAGTTAAATAAAAAGTAAAACATGATTTATCCCTGAGGTTTTATTTAAATCATGGCATCTAATTAATTATGATAAATAAATAAAGGATATGATTGATGGATAATATTTAAGATTAAAATATAACTGGCATATAAAAGTTTGGCATTTATGTAATTTAATAAGATGTAATATAACACTAAAAGTTTCAAATTATTTGATCGTTTTTGGAGAAACCAGAGGGTTTGCTGAAGAGGATTTAATTTATTTAAGTAAATTTTATTTTTTATAATTAATTTACTAACTTACAAAAATATGAATGATATTTATAAATATAAAATCAATAATAAAATCTATTTATCTATCTATTTATATTTTAGGTTAAAAAAACTTTTTCAAAATATTATTTAATAAAATATATAATATTATTCAAACATTTTATATTTATTCATCCTTTTTTCACCAGTTGTTTATCAATAGAAATTTTTGTTAAAGACAACTAATCTTTTTGATTTAAGACACTTACTTATTATTTTGAATTTTTATGATTTATTCAAAAAGCTAAAAATTTAAAAATAAATTTGTGTAAATTTAATAAACTTTTAAATTAAAAACTATTCATTAAATTAATAAATAAAATAATATTAGTGTTATAAAAAAGATAAAAAAATAAAATAAATAAAAGATATAAAATAAATTCAAAAAGCTTTTTTGTTTTATATTCATTTTTATATTTTAAAATATCACAATCCAAAACAAATAAACTATTTTTACCTAAGGTAAAGTGTCAAATTTGAGAGATTAATGCACTTTGCTAAAGCAGAACCTAAGTCTGATGCACCTTCGTCACCAAAATAATAATTTCTACTTTTTAAATATTGAAAAAAAATATATCATTAAATAGTTAATTAGACAGAAAAAATGAAGAAAAAATATGAAATAATAAGATTAATTAATAATAAATGTAAAAGTTGAAAATAAAATGATGAGCTAAATTAACAAACAAAGAAAGAACAAAAAACTGCTAGCAAAATAAAAAGAAAAAAGAGCTTTATTGTTTTTAATTAGTTTTGTAATTAAAAATATCACAATTCAAAACAAATAAATTGTATTTACCCAAGATTAAGTGTCAAATTTGAGAGATTAATGCACTTTGCTAAACCAGAACTAAAGCCTGATGCACCTTTTGCACCAATTTAATTCTAACTTTTTAAATATTGAAAAAAAAATATATCATTAAATAGTTAATTAGAAAGAAAAAATGAAGAAAAAATATGAAATAATAAGATTAATTAATAATAAAAGCAAAAGTTGAAAATAAAATGATGAGCTAAATTAACAAAGAAACAAAGAACAAAAAAAGCAAGCACAATAAAAAGAAAAAGAAAAGAGAGCTTTATTGTTTTTAATTAGTTTTTATAATTAAAAATATCACAATCCAAAACAAATAAACTGTTTTTACTCAAGGTCAAGTGTCAAATTTGAGAGATTAATGCACTTTGCTAAAGCAGAACCTAAGTCCGATACACCTTTGTCACCAATATAATTTCTACTTTTTAAATATTGAAAAAAAATATATCATTAAACAGTTAATTAGACAGAAAAAATGAAGAAAAAATATGAAATAATAAGATTAATTAATAATAAAAGCAAAAGTTGAAAATAAAATGATGAGCTAAATTAACAAAGAAACAAAGAACAAAAAAAGCAAGCACAATAAAAGAAAAAGAAAAAGAGCTTTAGTGTTTTTAATTAGTTTTATAATTAAAAATATCACAATTCAAAACAAATAAACTGTTTTTACTTAAGTTTAAGTGTCAAATTTGAGAGATTATTGCAATTTGCTAAAACAGAACTTAAGCCTGATGTACCTTTGTCACCAATTTAATTATTACTTTTTAAATATTGAAGAAAAAATATATCATTAAATAGTTAATTAGAAGGAAAAAATGAAGAATAAATATGAAATAATAAGATTAATTAATTAATAATAAAACTAAAAGTTGAAAATAAAATGATGAGCTAAATTAACAAAGAAAGAAAGAACAAAAAAAAGCAAGCACAGTAAAAGAAAAAGAAAAAGAGCTTTGTTGTTTTTAATTAGTTTTTATAATTAAAAATATCGCAATCCAAAACAAATAAACTGTTTTTACTAAAGGTCAAGTGTCAAATTTGAGAGATTAATGCAATTTGCTAAACCAGAACCTAAGCCTGATGCACCTTCGTCACCAATTTAATTTTTACTTTTTAAATATTGAAGAAAAAATATATCATCAAATAGTTAATTAGAAGGAAAAAATGAAGAAAAAATATGAAATAATAAGATTAATTAATAATAAAAGTAAAAGTTGAAAATAAAATGATGAGCTAAATTAACAAAGAAAGAAATAACAAAAAAAAGCAAGCACAATAAAAGAAAAAGAAAAGAGAGATTTATTGTTTTTAATTAGGTTTTATAATTAAAAATATCACAATCCAAAACAAATAAACTGTTTTTACTAAAGGTCAAGTGTCAAATTTGAGAGATTAATGCACTTTGCTAAAGCAGAACCTAAGCCTGATGCACCTTTTGCATCAATTTAATTATTACTTTTTAAATATTGAAGAAAAAATATATCATCAAATAGTTAATTAGAAGGAAAAAATGAAAAAAAATATGAAATAATAAGATTAATTAATTAATTAATAATAAAAGTAAAAGTTGAAAATAAAATGATGAGCTAAATTAACAAAGAAAGAAAGAACAAAAAAAAGCAAGCACAGTAAAAGAAAAAGAAAAAGAGCTTTGTTGTTTTTAATTAGTTTTTATAATTAAAAATATCGCAATCCAAAACAAATAAACTGTTTTTACTAAAGGTTAAGTTTCAAATTTGAGAGATTAATGCAATTTGCTAAACTAGAACCTAAGCCTGATGCACCTTCGTCACCAATTTAATTATTACTTTTTAAATATTGAAGAAAAAATATATCATCAAATAGTTAATTAGAAGGAAAAAATGAAGAAAAAATATGAAATAATAAGATTAATTAATTAATAATAAAAGTAAAATTTGAAAATAAAATGATGAGCTAAATTAACAAAGAAAGAAAGAAAGAAAGAAAGAAAGAACAAAAAAAGCAAGCACAATAAAAGAAAAAGAAAAGAGAGCTTTATTGTTTTTAATTAGTTTTTATAATTAAAAATATCACAATCCAAAACAAATAAACTGTTTTTACTAAAGGTTAAGTGTCAAATTTGAGAGATTAATGCACTTTGCTAAAGCAGAACCTAAGCCTGATACACCTTTGTCACCAATTTTATTTTAACTTTTTAAATATTGAAGAAAAAATATATCATTAAATAGTTAATTAGAAGGAAAAAATGAAGAAAAAATATATCATTAAAAAGACTAAGTTACCGTACAAATGAATAAAAAGTGAATTTTATTTCCCAATTTTTATATTTTATAAAATTTTAAATATTTTTTATGAATTTTTTTTCTATCCTAAATTTTCAAAATTTATTTTTTTCAAAAAAAAAAGATATTTTATGCTTTCTAAAAATTAGCTTTATTTATAATGTTATTAAGATATAAATTAAATAGGTATTTCACTATAGTTAATTAGGAGGAAAAAATGAAGAAAAAATATGAAATAATAAGATAAATTAATAATTAATAAAATTAACAAAAAATGAAAAAATAAGAAATCATAATAAAAAGATAAAAGAAAAACAAATCAAAAAAATTAAAAGAACTATAATGTTTTAAATTAACTTTTATAATTAAAAATATTACAATGTAAAACAAATAAATAGCTTTTATTAAGTGTAAGTTTTAATTACAAAAAATGAAGATAAAATATCTAATAATAAAAAATGAATAATAAATAATTAAAAATTGAAATGAAAATTAAGTTAAAATAGCTAAAAATTTTTAGTTTTAATAAAAATAATGAATAAATAATGATGATAATTTCTTTTATAAAATTATAAGTAAATTGAAAATTAAATATAAAAATATATCAATAATAATAAAAATAATATTTTTTAATTAAATATACCTAAAATTAATATGGAGAACCTAATGAGATAAAAGTGAAGAGCTTTTAAACTTTTTTTATTAATTTATAAAAATTTAAAGGATATTAATAAAAAAATTAATAATTACATGTTCTAAATTATAATAATTAATCTATTTTATCATTTTTTTTTTTTTTCAAAAATATTGAATAGCGATTTATGAAATTTAATTAATTAATTATAAATGTATAAAAAGAACAAATAAATATAATAATTAATTAATTATCAAATATTAATTTATATATTTGGTTTTATGAAGAGATATCACAGAAAATTAATTTAACATTCACTATTTAAACTTAATATTAGAAACAAAAAAAAAACATTTTTACCACAAAAGTGAAATAAAAAGTAAAACTTGATTTATCCCTGAGGTTTTATTTAAATCATGGCATCTAATTAATCAGGATAAATAAATAAAGGATAAAAATATGATTGATGGATAATATTTAAGATTAAAATATAACTGGCATATAAAAGTTTGGCATTTATATAATTTAATAAGATGTAATATAACACTTAAAGTTTCAAATTATTTGATCGTTTTTGGAGAAACCAGAGGGTTTGCTGAAGAGAGGATTTAATTTATTTAAGTAAATTTAATTTTTTTATTTTTTATAATTAATTTATTTACTTACAAAAATATGAATGATATTTATAAATATAAAATCAATAATAAAATCTATCTATCTAATTATATTTTAGGTTAAAAAAACTTTTTCAAAATATTATTTAATAAAATATATAATATTATTCAAACATTTTATATTTATTCATCCTTTTTTCACCAGTTGTTTATGAATAGAAATCAATTTTAAAGACAACTAATCTTTTTGATTTACGACACTTGCTTATTACTTTGAATTCTTATGATTAAATCATTGGGCTAAAAATTTTTAAATAAATTTGTGTAAATTTTAGGATAAATATCAAAATAGAATAAACTTTTAAATTAAAAATTATTTTTTAAATTAATAAATAAAATAATATTAGTGTAATAATAAAGATAAAAAAATAAAATAAATAAAAGATATCAAATAAATTCAAAAAGCTTTTTTGTTTTATATTCATTTTTATATTTTAAAATATCACAATCCAAAACAAATAAACTATTTTTACTCAAGTATAAGTGTCAAATTTGAGAGATTAATGCACTTTGCTAAAGCAGAACCTAAGCCTGATACACCTTTGTCACCAATTTTATTCAAACTTTTTAAATATTGAAAAAAAAAAAATATCATTAAATAGTTAATTAGACTGAAAAAATGAAGAAAAAATATGAAATAATAAGATTAATTAATAATAAATGTAAAAGTTGAAAATAAAATGATGAGCTAAATTAACAAAGAAAGAAGGAACAAAAAATTGCAAGCAAAATAAAAAGAAAAAAGAGCTTTATTGTGTTTAATTAGTTTTGTAATTAAAAATATCACAATTCAAAACAAATAAATTGTATTTACCTAAGATCAAGTGCCAAATTTGAGAGATTAATGCACTTTGCTAAACCAGAACCTAAGTCTGATACACCTTTGTCACCAATATAATTTCTACTTTTTAAATATTGAAAAAAAATATATCATTAAATAGTTAATTAGAAGGAAAAAATGAAGAAAAAATATGAAATAATAAGATTAATTAATAATAAAAGAAAAAGTTGAAAATAAAATGATGAGCTAAATTAACAAAGAAAGAAAGAACAAAAAAAAACAAGCACAATAAAAGAAAAGAGAGCTTTTTTGTTTTTAATTAGTTTTATAATTAAAAATATCACAATTCAAAACAGATAAATTGTATTTACCCAAGATCAAGTGCCAAATTTAAGAGATTAAAGCACTATGCTAAAGCTGAACCTAAGCCTGATGCACCTTCGTCACCAATTTTATTATTACTTTTTAAATATTGAAAAAAATATATCATTAAATAATTAATTAGAAGGAAAAAATGAAGAAAAAATATAAAATAATAATATTAATTAATAATGATAGTAAAAGTTGAAAATAAAATGATGAGCTAAATTTACAAAGAAAGAAAGAAAGAAAGAAAGAAAGAAAGAACAAAAAAAGCAAGCACAATAAAAGAAAAAAGAGCTTTATTGTTTTTAATTAGTTTTTATAATTAAAAATATCACATTCCAAAACAAATAAACTGTTTTTACCTAAATTTAAGTGTCAAATTTGAGAGATTAATGCACTTTGCTAAAGCAGAACCTAAGCCTGATGCACCTTCATCACCAATTTAATTTTCACTTTTTAAATATTGAAGAAAAAATATATCATTAAATAGTTAAATAAGAAGGAAAAAATGAAGAAAAAATATGAAATAATAAGATTAATTAATAATAAAAGTAAAAATTGAAAGTAAAATGATGAGCTAAATTAACAAAGAAAGAAAAAACAAAAAAAAGCAAGCACAATAAAAGAAAAAGAAAAGAGAGCTTTTTTGTTTTTAATTAGTTTTTATAGTTAAAAATATCACAATCCAAAACAAATAAACTGTTTTTACTCAAGGTCAAGTGTCAAATTTGAGAGATTAATGCACTTTGCTAAAGCAGAACTTAAGCCTGATGCACCTTTTGCACAAATTTAATTATAACTTTTTAAATATTGAAGAAAAAATATATTATTAAATAGTTAATTAGAAGGAAAAAATGAAGAAAAAATATGAAATAATAAGATTAATTAATAATAAAAGTAAAAGTTGAAAATAAAATGATGAGCTAAATTAACAAAGAAAGAAAGAACCAAAAAAAGCAAGCACAATAAAAATAAATAAAAAAATGAGCTTTATTATTTTTAAATAAACAGTTTTTACTTAAGTTTAAGTGTAAAATTTGAGAGATTATTGCAATTTGCTAAATCAGAACTTAAGCCTGATGCACCTTTTGCACCAATTTCATTCCAACTTTTTAAATATTGAAGAAAAAATATATCATTAAATAGTTAAATAAGAAGGAAAAAATGAAGAAAAAATATGAAATAATAAGATTAATTAATAATAAAAGTAAAAATTGAAAGTAAAATGATGAGCTAAATTAACAAAGAAAGAAAAAACAAAAAAAAGCAAGCACAATAAAACAAAAAGAAAAGAGAGCTTTTTTGTTTTTAATTAGTTTTATAATTAAAAATATCACAATTCAAAACAGATAAATTGTATTTACCCAAGATCAAGTGCCAAATTTGAGAGATTAATGCACTATGCTAAAGCAGAACCTAAGCCTGATGCACCTTTGTCACCAATTTTATTTCCACTTTTTAAATATTGAAGAAAAAATATATCATTAAATAGTTAATTAGAAGGAAAAAATGAAGAAAAAATATGAAATTATAAGATTAATTAATAATAAAAGTAAAAGTTGAAAATAAAATGATGAGCTAAATTAACAAAAAAAGAGAGAACAAAAAAAATCAAGCACAAAATAAGAAAGAAAAAAACGAGCTTTATTGTTTTTAATTAGTTTTATAACTAAAAATATCACAATTCAAAACAAATAAATTGTTTTACACAAGATTAAGTGTCAAATTTGAGAGATTAATGCACTATGCTAAAGCATAACCTAAGCCTGATGCACCTTTTACACCAATTTAATTCTAACTTTTTAAATATTGAAAAAAATATATATCATTAAATAGTTAATTAGAAGGAAAAAATGAAGAAAAAATATGAAATAATAAGATTAATTAATTAATTAATAATAAAAGCAAAAGTTGAAAATGAAATGATGAGCTAAATTAACAAAGAAAGAAAGAACAAAAAAAAGCAAGCACAATGAGAGAAAAAGAAAAGAGAGCTTTATTGTTTTTAATTGGTTTTTATAATTAAAATTATCACAATTCAAAACAAATAAACTGTTTTTACTAAAGGTCAAGTGTCAAATTTGAGAGATTAATGCACTATGCTAAAGCACAACCTAAGCCTGATACACCTTCGTCACCAATTTAATTATAACTTTTTAAATATTGAAAAAAAATATATCATTAAATAGTTAATTAGAATGAAAAAATGAAGAAAAAATAAGAAATAATAAGATTAATTAATAATAAATGTAAAAGTTGAAAATAAAATGATGAGCTAAATTAAAAGAAAGAAAGAACAAAAAAAAGCAAGCACAATAAAAGAAAAAAGAGCTTTATTGTTTTTAATTAGTTTTATAATTAAAAATATCACAATCCAAAACAAATAAACTGTTTTTACCCAAGATTAAGTGTCAAAATTGAGAGATTAATGTACTTTGCTAAAGCAGAACCTAAGCCTGATGCGCATTTTGCACCAATTTTATTTCCACTTTTTAAATATTGAAGAAAAAATATATCATTAAATAGTTAATTAGAAGGAAAAAATGAAGAAAAAATATGAAATTATAAGATTAATTAATAATAAAAGTAAAAGTTGAAAATAAAATGATGAGCTAAATTAACAAAGAAAGAAAGAACAAAAAAAAGCAAGCACAATAAAAAAAAAAGAAAAGAGAGCTTTATTGTTTTTAATTAATTTTTATAATTAAAAATATCACAATTCAAAACAAATAAACTGTTTTTACCTAAGGTAAAGTGTCAAATTTGAGAGATTAATGCACTTTGCTAAAGCAGAACCTAAGCCTGATACACCTTTTGCACCAATTTCATTCCAACTTTTTAAATATTGAAGAAAAAATATATCATTAAATAGTTAATTAGAAGGAAAAAATGAAGAAAAAATATGAAATTATAAGATTAATTAATAATAAAAGTAAAAGTTGAAAATAAAATGATGAGCTAAATTAACAAAGAAAGAAAGAACAAAAAAAAGCAAGCACAGTAAAAGAAAAAGAAAAAAGAGCTTTATTGTTTTTAATTAGTTTTATAATTAAAAATATCACAATCCAAAACAAATAAACTGTTTTTACTAAAATTAAGTGTCAAATTTGAGAGATTAATGCACTTTGCTAAAGCAGAACCTAAGCCTGATACACCTTCGTCACCAATTTTATTTCCACTTTTTAAATATTGAAGAAAAAATATATCATTAAATAGTTAATTAGAAGGATAAAATGAAGAAAAAATATGAAATAATAAGATTAATTAATAATAAAAGTAAAAGTTGAAAATAAAATGATGAGCTGTAAGTTACCATACAAATTTATAAAAAGCGAGTTTAATTACCCAATTTTTACATATTATAAAATTTTAAATATTTTGTATGAATTTTTTTCCATCCTAAATTTTTAAAATTTATTTTTTTCAAAAAAAAAGATATGTTATGCTTTCTAAAAATTAGCTTTATTTATAATGTTATTAAGATATATATTAAATAGGTATTTCACTCTAGTTAATTAGGAGGAAAAAATGAATAAAAAATATGAAATAATAATATTAATTAATAATTAATAAAACTAACAAAGAATGAAAAAATAAGAAATCATAATAAAAAGAAAAAGGAAAAACAAATCAAAAAAATTAAAGAACTATAATGTTTTAAATTAACATTTATAATTAAAAATATTAAAATGTAAAATATACAAATAAATAGCTTTTATTAAGTGTAAGTTTTAATAACAAAAAATGAAGATAAAATATCTAATAATAAAAAATGAATAATAAATAATTAAAAATTGAAATGAAAATTAAGTAAAATAGCTAAAAAATTTTAATTTTAATAAAAATGAATAAATAATGATGATAATTTTTTTTATAAAATTATTTATTCTAATAAATTGAAAATTAAATATACAAAAAATATCAATAAAAATAAAAATAATATTTTTTAATTAAATATACCGAAGATTAATATGGAGAACCTAATGAGATAAAAGTGAAGAGCTTTTAAACTTTTTTTATTAATTAAAATAAATTTAAAGGATATTAATAAAAAAATTAATAATTACTTCTTCTAAATTATTATATTTTTTAATCTATTATATCATTTATTTTTTTTTCAAAAAATATTAAAAATATTGAATAGCAATTTATGAAATTTAATTAATTA